ATATGACCTTGACAGATCGATCTACTACCGTACGTACTTGGAATCAGTTTTGAAGGCAATTCATTTCGATAATGTGAATGTCATGGGTGCCTTTGTCTGGAGTTATGCCGATACCTGGGAGTTTGGCGACTACAGCCAACAATATGGGTTGCAGGTTGTGAACAGAACGACCCAGGAGAGACACTACAAGAAGAGTTTCTTTGACGTCGTTGAGTATTATAACCAAAGATCCGGTAATTCTTGTTGAGCAAGGTTGGACTTACTCTCTTAATTTTAAGATAATATTCCTAACCTTTACCTTTTTTATTATATTTTGATAGAGTTGAATCTGTAGAGCGCGGGCGTGAATCTAGTAATGTTGATTCATCCCAAAGGATACCTTTCGTGAATATTATTCCTCACACATACAGTCCAGGCTTTCATTCAAACCTCAGAAATCGTCTACCAGAAGTGCTGATTGCTTTTTGGGCAGGTCCTGGGGATCGCTATCTCCGTAGATATTTCTGAGGACGCGGAGATTCATCTGCGTTGATCAGCTTCTCTTACATAGTAAACCTCCTGAAAACACTATCAGTTCTACCCTTTGGAAGACTGGGGATATTCATTGTGTAAACATTTTAAGCTTTAACAGACCTTTTTATCTCAAAATTTTATCATTTATTTCTCGCCCCAGCCATGGATCCGTTAATATTCATGGTACAGTGTCTCGTGCTGCATGGTAAATCAACGCCAGGGTGCAGGTCAGCGCGAATTCATGGCGGAATTTATTTTTGTTTAGACAATTAACATCAAAACCAAACAAACGTTTGAACGCCCCTTTGTCTGTCACACAAATCCTAATATTGAAAGCTCCGAAGCCAAAAGGACGAAAAATGGCCCCAAATACTCCCAGTGATCAATTGGTGAAACCAAAGAAGCTAGACTTGCTGGCTACGATCCCCAGACCGAACCCGTCCTTGTCCCTCTGGTCCAGGGCTGCTCAGAATTCGTCAACTTCCCTCGACCCTGTTTCGTCTCTGAGTGCCAGTATTAGCAGCTGGATGAGCTCGTTGAGATCCAAGGCCCAGCAAGCGTTGAAAGAGACCCAAGAGGAAGACTCCCGGTTCTTCCTGCAATTGGAGATCGAGCGGAAGGTGCAACATGACAGCGCCAGGATCGACGAGCAGAATTTGGACATGTTGCATATTTATTTGGAGAATCAAAAACAGAAGGCTGTCCTTCTTCAACAAAGCGTGTCTGTGGACAGCGAGGATCAAGAAGTCGCGCTGGCTTCTGACACCAAGGCATACCTGAGTGAAAACGACCTTCAGGAATATTTGGCAGAAGAAGATGACTTATTCGAGGACGAAGAAGCGCTTCTAAATGAGGAGTACGAGGAAAGATCTACCCAATGGAACAACCAGGCGCCTCCTGATCAGGTGTTTGAAATTGGCTCTGAGTCGGAAGACGAACCCCCGGCTTCCCAGACTCGTATATCGTACCCAGTGTCGCAGCTTGATACGTTAGCGTACAGTGCCATTCAGTCATACAGCGCAGCACAACAAATCCTAGCACCGTCAGAATTGGATGATGTCTCTGATGAGTTTGAGGGCGACGATTACGACGTCGACGCCGAAGATATCGACCAGCATAGCGATATGGATGAAGAAATAGACGGGTACGATGAGGCTTACCCAGAGGGTGAGCTCATTGACGTAAATTCAGATGCTGAGGATGAGCCCCCTTCCGAGAACGTTTACCTCTCCCAAAGCGAGACGCATCCCGCTCAGAGATATCCCTCCCTCCATCACAACGAAAGCATCGAACCCTCCGATGGAACAGGATGGGATGGAGTTCCTAGTGAAGATGCTGGCTCTAGTGAAGTTTCACAAGACGAAGCTCAGTCTCAGCAGTCATCCTCGTTGATTAATTCTGTACGCCCCAGGCTAAGCGACTACTACCCCGGTTACAACCATCCACATCAGTACAACCAGGACGTGAGCGACTCGGATGTTGGGGAAGATGAGGCCGCTGAAGAGTTTGATCCAGAGATACTAGGCTCCGAAGTGGATGATGAAAGCCAGTTTTCTCCAGAAGTACGGCATCTCCAAGACGCTCCTCTTTCTGATGGGTATCAGTCTCCTAGCAGCGATGAGGTGGAGTTCCTTGAGGCTGCCAGTGAGAGTGAAGATGCCAGTAGGGTGGAAGTGGACAGTGCTGAGTCCATCGACGAGAATGAATCGGAAGATGTTATTATGGAGGAAGACGCTAATGTTGACCCGTTTTTTGTCCAGCTTGCTCACCACGCCCTGGAACTTGCTCATACCGTTTCACAGGCGGTCAGTGGCATCATCCATAGCTCTGATGGCACCGAAGCAAGAGTAGCCGGTTCAGCTGGAGGTGCAATTGAAGTTCACGCCGAAGCTGCCGTTCCAGCTGAGTCTACGACCACGGCCCAGATAGAGCTCTCCGCTGAACCATTCCCTCTATCTAGTGTCATCGATGCTTCTGATGTAGAAGCCACAAATGAGACCGTGGGGTTTCCACAGACCCTGGATAATGTCTCCGTCTCTTCATGGGAATCATTTGAAGGAATTCCAAAGTTCTCCACCGAAGTCCGTGATAATGATACGTCGGATGTGGATATCAACGGTTCATTCGACAACGAACGCTTTTCGACCCCAGACACCCAGTTACCTCAGATAGGTGTTGAGAATGCCACTGTTTACTACGATGCCAGCTTGGACAGTACTATGTTCCATGAAGTTGACAATTATGTTCTTGGAGATGGGGATGTTAATGGGAACAAGACTGGAACCGGTGACTTTGGGATTGATATGTTGGAGACTAGTGTGGCGGACCGGGATGACGAGGAGGCCGCTGCTGATACCCGTGCGGAACACATTGCCGGGAACATTTCAGTGGGAGATGGTCTAGTAGAACTAACCGAGCAATGGTTTGAGGTTGGGCCTGTACGGGGTGATTCTCCGACAACCGATTATGCCTCCTCTGGGCCAGTGGCTAGCGCAGGTGTGATTCCTGGCGCTTCACCTATCTTGAACGAGCCTGTATCTGACGACGGGGGTAATCGATCGGACCAAGACCAAGGAAATTATCTGCCCGAGTCCACCCCCTTTGAAGACCACACGGCGTCCGAGTTTTTGTCTCACTCCGTTGGCCTTGAGGTCAGGGTTATACCGGCGGATGGTGTATTGATAGAGCGTGACCAGAGCGAGTTGGCGTCTGTCGTAGATGACACAGTTTACGTGGATGCAGATTCAGGAACTATCCGCGATATCGAGAGAGACGATACCCTACTGAGAACATCAAGACATGATTCTACTTCATCAGCTTCTCCGGAAATCGTCGAAGCTATACGTAATAACCTCGACACCCAAATTTTACAGCAGATTATATCTGACAACGTTCACAGCGTTGAGCAACAACGGTCTACCGAAATGGCCAATACATCGGAAGAGGTTGAGATTGCGGAAAATGAAACCGAAACAGAGGTTGAGGTGACTGACGTTATTGGGGGCCCAGCTGTGGTCAAAGTTGAGATAGAAAGGCGTGACGCTGGCAATGAGGTTTTTCATGACCCCATGGTGGATTTTGAAGCTGACGAAGAAAAGGTTGCAACCCCGGAGTCTTTTGCGGTGTCTGAAGTCACCCAAGACGTTGGTTCTCTGTCAGCCAACGAGACAATATTTTACGAGCCTGAAAATGTCAACAAAACGGCTTCCCATGAACCTCAAACAATCAATGAAACGGCTTTCTACGACCCTCAAACAATCAATGAAACGACTTTCTACGACCCACAAACAATCAATGAAACGGCTTTCTACGATCCTCAGTCAGCCAATGAAACGGTTTTCTATGGCCCGAACAATCCCCTGTCGGTGGATGCTACCGAGGCTGATGAGACCAAATTTATTGATGTTCTAGACTCAAATGAAATATCTGCATCCATTTCTGCTGCCCTTACGGACTTTTCGATGCCAGAAACTATTCCTGAGCCTGGAAGTGCTACCGCCGAAGTGTATGGCGACGTTTTAAATGTTGACGTCACGAAGATAGACAGTCCGGAACCCACCTCTACGGATATCGCCCCGATTCTCGCCAGAGATCCGACTTCATCCGGGGAACTCTCAGTTGGGATTGTGGCTGGGGAGATGGATGCTGACACTACCCAAGTCATTGAAGTGAGCGCTAGAACTAACGTTGTTGATGACTATGAGTCTCTTGCCATAGGAGCCTCTGAGGATTCGCTGCCAGGTCACATTGATTCCGATGAAACTCAGTTCTTTGAACCTCAAGTTGATATGGAAGTTATTGGCCCGGAACTGGGTGTCAGCAAAGAGACCACAGACGTTACTGTTGCTTTTGGCGATCAAGTAGACGAAACACACTACTTTGATGCTGATGTGACCGAGGAGTCTAGCGTGGTGAGTGGAAATGTTTTCAATCCGGATGGCTCAGCGGGTCCTGGTGACAAGACCGGTGGCCAGGAAGTGGTCGTGGCTGATACCATGGTTGGTGAGGAAACAGTGTTCCACGAACTGATGGGTGAGCAAACGGTATTCCATGAGCTGATTGAGGAGTATAATGGAGGCGAACCGATTGATGAGAAAATTGATAATGGCTCAGAAGGTCGCAACTTTCCTTTCCCAATAGAAACTGCGGAATCTGACACTATTGCTGATATCCCACCTTTGAACGATCCAGCTTTAAAAGACTTTCAAGCCCAAGGGGGGGCTGGAAACCACTCCGTTCATGAGCAAACCACTGTGAATGAACTCTTTCTGGATGACAATCGTGAACTTTCCGCAGCTAACCGTTCCGCGGGGCTCTCTCGGAATGAAATCTTCCTGAAAATTGCCCCCCATCTCCGTAAGGGTCGTGGAAAGACCGTGGCTGCTTGGACTACGGAGGACTCTTTCAATGCCAAAATAGAAGCCCCTTCGACTGGCGATGGACTGGCTGAGGGCTATACACCCGCTCAAGATGTCTTGGTTACGGATACCACACATCCCGGGGATTCATTGGATGTGAGCCTTCTACTAGCTGACGAAAAATTTCAACTCCCGGCGCCCGAGACGACTGTCGAAAAGGAGAACGAGAGTGTCTTACCGGATGCTGAGCCCCCAGTTAGCATCAAGTACACTCAAAACACACTCCTTGCTCCAGAGGATGCGAAACTAGAGCTTCCTAAAAGAGGGTCCCGCAAGCGTTCGGTGTCCCCCGCCAAGTCTCGCTCTGTGTCTTCTCCCAAGGCCAGGTCCTCGTCACGTTCAAAGTCTGGGACCAGAACATTTGACGGCATCACTCTCCCAGACAATGCGTCGACAGAGCTCGGTCCACCTGCAAACCGGACCCGAAACATTGAATGGAGAGCGATTTCCGACGGGTTTAGCGAGTTGCCAAGTTCTGAGGCGATGACGGACATCACTCAGGTCTCCACTGACGTTCAGGATCCTGATTATACCCGAAGTGTGAACAACACTGCGTTGGAGTTCGAACCGGCGCCTAGAGAGGAGGTTTCCACACGGAAGCTCCTTCCTAGTTCTGAACCCCCTGAAGATTCTGACATTGGGGCTGCGGGTGAAACGACTACCCAGGAACCCAAAGAAGAGGAAAATTCTAAGAATATCAAGGCGGAAGAGAATTCAAAGGAACTGGAGACCCCGGCCGCTGCTGTAAAGCCTGAAATTGGAAACTCCGCAACTAGACTTGAAGCCGAGGTCACAGAAGGTAAGCCGACTGTTTCTCCGAAGAGACGTGGACGTCCTCCGAAGGTGCGTGCTAATAATTCTGCCGTCACCAGCGCAGCAGTACAGGTTGAGCCCAAGCAAAGAGAGGTGACGTCAGTACAAGCGGCCGGGTCCGAGGTATTGTCACCAACCTTCGAACTTTGGACCACCCCAGGTCTGAACGTGGTATCTGAAGCGCGTGTGCGTACGCCTGTTTCTGCCTTTGCGGCTATTAACTCGCTCTTGCCAACGTTCGATCCAACTGTCCAAGGGGATATCCAAGAACTTAGGATGGCGGCTGGGTCACCTAACCTAGTGCAAGAGAAATTTGAAGAGGAGGTCTCGAGGAGCGAGTCTGCCAAGCTTGAGAAAAAAAGACCGGATCGCAAGTCTAAACGCGTGGCTGAGGCTTCTCCAGGTAAGCGTGGACGTGATTTGGATGCGCCGATTGAAGAAGGGCCTGTAAGGAAGCGGGCCTCTAGGAGGCGTATGACTGCGCGTGATACCGAAGAGCAGGAGACGAGCATACCAGCAGAGGCCGAAGTGCTTGAAAATTCGGTTGGTACCAGCAACACTGCCAAATTAACTAAGGAGACGTTTATCACGGATACCTCCAATGAAGCTAAACTAGTAGCCTTGGAGACCGAAAGAGATGTTGCTTCTGAGACTGGGGCAAAACGCCAAAAGGCTGCTAGAAGGAGAGGTGGGAAAACGGCTCCGGTTGAGGCTACCCCAGAGGTTGCCGAGACTGAAGCTCTAGAAGTGGTACCAAAATCCGCAAGGAAGAGGCTGAGCTCTAAGCTAGGCTCTAAGAGTTCCGTCGCACGTGACGGTGTGAGCAAAGCAAAGCCTAAGAGAAAAAGAAAGAGGAACACCTAAGAGGTGTCAGGGTGTTAACCGTATATAAGAGCAACTTGTATATATAAGGTGTGATAACTAGCGTAGGATTTGTAATGACCCAAGGTGGAAGTGACGTTACAGTATTGTATGCGTGCTTGTCTTCTCGGGTATTAGACAAGAGATTTAATAGGAATCGAAGACGGATACTAGAGATAGGGATAAATTGGGTCACTTCGAGCCATGCATTACATACACGCCGGTAGGTTTAATATATACGGAAAAGTCCATTATTGGCCAACCTCTACAAAGTAAAGACATAGGATCAATGACAACATTTCTCAGCTCGAACAATCCTAAAAAGCGAAGAATGCAAATGCTAGGCGACAAACTTCAGGAAGTTCTCGAAGCAGCCGAACCAGACAATGGCCACTATCACGGATCGGGTAATGGAGACACCCAAGCCACGGTACATTCTACGTGTGGGGATAGACAATTTACGCTCAGGGAACGACAAAGGCTCAAGTCCAGAGCGCTTCCTCAAGATGTTGGTCATAATATCCCGCTGCAACAAAGATTTCGTTGTGTCTATCGGAAAAACAGTGCACCAACTGAGAATCCCCGACAGTGATCCCGCTAGGGCGACAGTCACAGGACCGATCGGGATGGGGGTTCCGCTCAACTTTCCGTTGTCATCCGCTAGGGATCCAAGCACAAGCTTCGTGGTTTCATACGCGGCGTAGTAGAAGCCGGTACCGATGGAGTCGCGCAAGCAGTGGAGGCCCAAGCCAGTATAGAGGCCTCTGACGCCGCGGTGCTCTATGATAATGCGGCAGATGCCTACAAAGGATGTGGGGGTGGCCTTGATGGGCATTGTGGCGTCCTTGTACTGGACCAACTTGGATATCTGAGAGAAAACCTTGGTGAACTCGAAGGGACATGCAAAGAGCGAGATACAGGCCCCAGAAACCATGCCTGAGAGGAATGATATTGGTGCGTTGTTCACTGCTAGCGCGAGATTGTTCTTCCATTGTGGTGCTGTGCCGCTGACCTGGAGCGGATAGTAGAGAAACCCCTGGAGCTCGGCTGCCACCGGCTTGGCCGCGGTGTAGATCAGGACTGAGATAGTTTTGGTGATGGACACAGATATAAGTGGAGCGGTTATACCCCGGAAAAGTCCCCTCACGCCCTCGTGGCGTACGGTCTGCTTCCCGCACTCCCACGCGCTAGGGAATTTGTGGGTCTGAAGCCGGGTTTTTACCGTGTCCATGGGAAATCCGATGACTGTGGAGGCGAGGGAAGCGACTGACGCACCGATGGTGGATTTCCAGGGCTGGAGTTGCGGCGGAAGCGCCATGATCACCAGGGAGGGGTCATATTCGCTCGCGATGGCTGGCGCGACCGTTCGGACGTTCAGCATGAGAGAAAAGGGGACACAAATGAAGAAAAGGGGATAGAAACGAGGGGGGAAGGAACAGAGATATGATAAGGAGGAGATAATATTCCTATTTCCCGTTTACCTAGCCCAGAAATATACAGCCATGGCCTGTTACGGTGGTATCTTGGGGCACCGGTGATTGATTTTTCAGAAGACTCATCGGAAAACCGTGCCGGATATTTTAGCCGCACGAAAATTCACCCGTCACCCGATGGCCTGCACAGAGAAAGCCCCGGGATACGGGTAAGAGGCCCTGTCTGGGCATTGAGATCCGAGCAGTCGCTCCTCCTCCGGAAAAAAAGAAGCATTTTACTTTGATATCTTGAGCTGTTGGGGAAAATCTTTAGTCTCTTGATAAAATGGAATGATAGTCAGTAGGTCTCAAGCTGGCTACTATATCTGATTAATGTTGGAAGGTTAAGTGTCCCAAGAACATGTCTGAAGTTTTGGTGCATAACTAGTGGGGGGATTATTTTTTTCGTTTAATCTTTACATATATTCTAACCCATAGTAGATATTTCCGAGACAATAACCCTTTCAAGAAGGTAGGAATAGGCTCTGTTTCGGTCGTTAGCCAGTCTAATTTGGAACTATAAATTATAGGTATTGGTTGTTGTAGTATCCCATTATAAGTTTAATGTTAGAAACCTCTATTTTGGAATTTTGACATGCCGTTGCTACCAGTGTCAAATAATCACACTTAACCGTTTATAGTATTGTTCAGCCCCAGGATTACAGGTCTGCGTTAAATCAAATGATCATGTAATTAAGGTATATACCATTTTTTGGTGTCTATATACAAACACCGTTAAGCGTTAAAACCATAGAGCCGGATCGGCCAATTTAATACAACCACTACACCGAAACATCCTCATTGAAGCTCAACACGTCATTAAATCGCTGCCCGTTGATGTTTGCAAGCGGCGCAGGCGCAGCAGTGTGATCCGCGTCCTGCGTCGCAACCAAGATCAAACCGCGTGAGCGGATCGTCGCAACCAAGTCCGGCACCGCCTCGAGCAACCGCCCCGCGACGATGATCCCTAGCAAGTTATTATTTGTCGCAAACTTTAACGCCGCGCTCAAGCTGTACGTCGCGACATCTTCCTTCGCACCGCAGAGCGCGAACCCGTGCGTCGTGGTGTTACAGAACTCCCTCTCGAAACGAAGACCACCCATGCTGAAAAACACAGGGTAGTTCGGCTGTTTCCAGTTCAAAATCGTGCAAATATCTGGGTTGCTCGAGGAAAACACGATGGAACGCGAGGCCACCGTGCCGGCCTCCTTGAGCGCGCGGATATGGGTAAAGATATTGGTCAAGATCGCGTCGATGAACTTGTTGGAGTTCCGCACACTATTAAGCAGGTACGGCAACTGCTGGAGCTCGATATCTGTGGGGTAGTAGACTTCGATATCAAGATTCACCTCTGGAGGGACAATCTGTAAAAACGCCTTGAACGGAAGGTAAATGATCTTGAGCACTTTTTGGAGTAATTTCGTATTGAAATTGCGGCCATGGAGGTCCAGCATAAGCTTAGGGTAGTCAAAGAGGTCGGAGGTGATTCGGTCGAGCTCCGCGGGGGTGAGGTTCGCAATGGGCACGTCGATAGAGCCGACGGGGATCAGCCAGTGGGGACAGACCACAGGGGTCCCATCGTTGAGCATGACGAGCCGGATGCGGAGGTACTGGCCGGAAAGGGAAGAGGCGGTGACAAAGGAGAGCATGGAGGGAGATGCAAGGTCGCGCGCAGTTCCGTTAGCGTCGCGCACGGGTCCGTCTGCGTCACGCGCGGGCCCATCCGTGTCGCGTGCGGAACCTTCGCGCACCTTCCCCGCGCTATCGCGCGTAAAGATCTCGTCCTTTTTGGTACTCTTCCAATACGTCTCGTACTTCGATATCTCCAACGGCACGCCCGAGTACGGATGCACAATCCGATAATCAAACTTGAGCTCTCCCGCATTCCGCAACCTCACGTCAAACAACGGCACCGTCACGTTATATCCGTGGAGCTTGCCCGCGCGCGTAAAGAGATTGACCATACTCGTGGCCTTGGCAATGAGCCGTGTGCCGAACGTCGGAAAGAGCTCAAAGTCCACCGCGAACTGTGCCAAGTCGCGCGCCTCGATCTGGAACGAAACGGTGTTGGTGCTGTCAGTGATCGGGAGGAGAATGTTGCGCGGCACCACATCCAGGATGTTGGTCGAGAGCGTGATGCGTCCAGGCGGCTGCTTGTACGCGCCCGCCGCGCTCACAGGCGCACTCGCATGCAGCGTGTGGCGTGAGTTCGCGTGCACGGTATCCGCAGACGCGAAGGACGATGCGAGCTTCGCACCACCGGGCACGGAGTTGTATAGCACGATGCTTTCGCGGTTCGGATAGAACTGCAACTGGAGAAAGATCTTTTTATCCAAAAAGTTGTGGCCGTAGCGGCGCAACGGGATGATTGGTGGGGGGAGCTGGAAGTCTGGAATGAGATCCATCGGCGACTGCGAGCGTGAGTCCTTTCGCGTGGGCACAGATTGACGGCGCATCCCGCCGTATTTGAGGAGAAGGTTGAGCTCGCGCGCACCTCCGGCCATCGCCGCGTAGTACAGCGCCAGGAACCCATCATCGTCGAGCATGTCTTCACCGCAATGCGCGCCGTGGAGAATTAGCTGCTCGGCAGTGTCGCTGTGGCTGTTCGTTATGGCATAGAAGAGGGGCGGCCATTTGTTGAGGCCGTCAAGACGGTTGACCTCGCTCAGGTCATCCTTGAGTGGCAAGCTACCGGATTCATCCACCCCCTGCACGAGAAGCAGGATAAGGTGCGCATGACCGTAGCGCGCAGCCACGTGGAGCGGATAGAGGCCCTCGACATCCGCCTGGTGTGGCACAGCTGGCGCACACGCAATGAGCGCGTGGACGACGGCTGCGTCGCCGAAGCGGCACGCGTAGTTGAGCGGGAGGTACTGCAACGTCGAGTCGTCCAGGCGGGGGAAGGGGTTGGCACCGTGCGCGAGGAGCACCTGCACGCACGCAAGGGCGTTGTTCTGGATCGCGAGGAGGAGCGGTGACATGGACTCGTTGTCGAGGATGTCCACCCGGTAGGCGGTTTGGCCGTCGGAGCAGTCATCCACCTCGCCGGTAGCCTCAAGAAGCTCCCTTAACACCTCGTCCCGCCCGTTCACCGACGCATAGTGAAGACACGTGCGCCCGTTCCCATCCTGCATTCCGATCGGCACGCCCGCGGCAAGCGCAAGCGGGATGACAAACCGCCGCGCCTGGGCGAGCTTGCACGCCGCGTGGAGACACGTCTCACCTGTCAATTCGTCCGTAAGACTCAAATCAAGGTACGACAGCGGTGAATCCTCGAGAATCGCAAGCGCACGCTGGAGAAACTCGTCGGAAATGGTCGCGTTGCCGACCGCGTGGAGGAAAACGCGCGAGATCTTTTCACGCGCATAAGTACGCGCGATGGTGGCACGAATCCACTCGGTAAGCACAGATTCCGTTTCGGGTGATGGCGGGAGCAGCGACAAGTTGACAAATTCGTTGTACATATCGTCCATCTCCTTGTCATCGGTATCGGAACCGTCACTCGAGGGAGAGCCTGGCGGAGGCGAGCCCGTCAGGCTAGCGGCAAGACCAGAGGAAGCGGCGAGGCGAGCAGCCCGTCCCAGAACCACGGCAAGAGCAGGGCCCCCCTTGGGGAGGTCCCCGTCCATGATCGCCTCGAGTTCAAGAAGGCACCCGCTCACGGTATCGCTCAACTCGTTAATTTCGTATCGATGAAACACCGGCTGCACGTTGACCGCCGTGGAGATGAACAACTCCTTGGTGTGTGACTTGGACTGTTTGTCCCACTTCTTCAATGCCTTGGTAAATCCAATTTCGTTCAACTCCACAAACTGCTCGAGTCGGAGCACGTCCTGGTGGAGCTTCTGGAAGTTCTTGTAGAGGATGTTGATGGAGAGCGTGTTCTTCGTGGAGGCTAAGTGTGTCGCGCTCGCCGCGGCCGCGGTCACGGTAACCGCGGACGACCGCCGCGGAAGCCGGAGCAGCTGGAGGATCTTGCCCTTCTTGGTGAGGAGAATGTCCAAGCGAATGTTCAAGTCGGACTGTTTTTCTAGGTAGAACATGTTGACCTTTTCGAGCTCACGCTCGACCTTGAAGAAGAAGGAGGCCTTGTTGGCCTTGAGACGGTCTTCGGGCGAAGGGTCTGGCGAGGCCACGGGCGACAGGTCGCGGGCGACAAGCGCGTGCAGCGAGGCGTGCGCAACGGACTCACTATCTTCCTCGTCGTGCACATACGTGTGGCTGCGCGCAAGGGCCTTGATGTGTTTCTTAAGCGCCTTGTAGTTGATGAAGTGCCTGGCGTACTCGGGCAACTCGAGCTGGCGCGACGCGAGGTACTTTCCGAACTTCATCGATGATGGAAGCTAGTTGGTGAAATACCCCGGGGGACAGGAATGTGATAACCGGAAACAGCAATGGGATACCCGGAGTCAGGGACGTGATGGAAAGAGCAAGGGCGGTGGGATCAGAGTCGATTCCAAGCAACTGACGACGGGGCAATTCCAATGAGATCTGAAGCAATGGGCCAAGATAGCGACTGGAAAAAGAGACGGAGAGTCGATTAAAAAAAAATTGTAATCCGGTAGATCGACGCGTCACGTTAAGGTTGAGATGGGTAGCCGGTTCGACGTCAGCTGGAGATGGCAGAACCCGTTGGACTAATTTATGTATGCACAACTGATACCCACCCGGCGAGATGCAGGAATAGCCCACGTGGTGCGCCTGAGGGTACACGACTTGAATGCAAATGACACCCGCACGGGCGTTTGAACCGGATATTTGGAGGGTATATCGTGGGTTTATCAGTATAGGGAGTGGAAATGGTATCACCGTTGTATTTAACGAATTGAATTTGGAATGCAGAGAGCGTTGAACTGTTTGCGTTAACGTTTCATGAACCCAAGGTAGACCAGGGTCGTTTAATCTAGTACCACTGGGAGCCTAGGACCTAGAGAGAAGAGATGGCAACGGGTCATAGTGTTTGGGTAGTGAGCTGAATGGAATTAAATTCAAACCCAAATTCAATTCTAAATTCAAATGACTAATGTTTTCGCTACCAGCAATGGTTCTACGGAAACTTCAGATAAAACAACCTATAATTCACCATTCTTGGGTTCTGGGAAATCACCGGGTGGTTTCTGGGATACCACCGACCTTGATTCGATGTAGGATATATCTGTAGTCTAATCCTTTAATACATGTCTTGGAGTTGATATCTCCTGGTATTCCTAGTATAAGCCCAAGGAACCACTTATAGAGATGAGCTTACTGCGCTTGTCATGGCTATTCCGCATACATGGTAGAGTTATATTATTCTATTTAGATGTCCATTCTAGGTGGTATTTCAAAATAAAAATAATAATAATTCTCATCTTTACATAGGTAATGTCTAAAGTACCGGCCACCCCTCGCCAGAAAATTTTTAGCAAGAGCCAAGCCATTAACAATGCAATTTAAGTAGCGTAAAAAAAAAAAAAAATAGCGCAAAATATTGTTTGTTTATATTCAGAGATCGGCATTTAATCTAACAGGTGAATAGAAAATAATGGGAGAGTAGCAGTGAGTAAAACCTGTGGGCTGAATTCCACCGGGAGATTCAATTAGCATTTGCACTCTTCATCCATCACTTCCTTCGTCGGTTGTAGTAGATAATTTCAATTCAATATTTCCATCGTGAATGGCTATAAGTAGGGTTATCACCACTATTTGAATTTTTTTTTTTTATAACTATTTCCGAAAATCTACATATCTTAATGTAGAAGCAATTGCGCTCAGGATACATTACTGAGTCGAACAAATAATGCACACTTGGTAAAAATGAAGAAAATTTCCGAGTCCAAATTACCAGAACTTGTTATCTCCTAAAGAAAGCGTGATATAGCCCTTACTCATCAGAGAAACCTTTGGTAAATCATACCACTGGTCTTGACTACCGTGCAATGGTTTGAGAATCATAGCACCGTATGTAAGGTCCGGTTTTCACTCTCGGAAACAAGAGCAGGCATTAATCCTAATCAAAATGCACTCAGATGGGTCCATAGCTTTAATATCAAATCAACCATATACATTATATCAATCTTATTCTTAGAGCTCCCCCAAAAAGTTATTGAATTTATACCCGCTTTCGCAATCCATCATAACAAACAGCTCCAGTCCCTTTACAAGGTCACCCCCAATCTAGCGCAAATATCCTGTATAAAACTTGAACGGCCATTAGTCAGACTGCCCCATCAACCAAAACCCATCCATGGCCCGTAAAAACTCCTACAAATATTGACACATCTTAAGCCATCAATAAATTCACAAATCCTAGATGATTACCTTCCTCGCAATCTTCTTCTGCCACCCATCCAGTTATGTGAGGTTGTCCGCCTTCCCAAAGCAGCAAGCACAACAATCTGCGTGCCGGATACAATTTTCTGGTTATATAAGCAACTCCCCAAAGGCGGAAAAAATTTACGCCATCAAACACAAAACACATCGCAACAGCGTCAACACAGGCACCAATACATCGAAATATCACATCGAAACGCATCAAACCCCATTGATACTGTTGAGATATCCAGAAGTGCTTACATCGTCTATCAAGAGATACAGACAAGACACTCCAGTTCTGTTTGCTTAAACTTGTGTCCATACATTTCGACCCATTGCCGCCGTTGAGATCGAATTCACTGGTCCATATCCCATAACCACTGAGTATCCCATCTGTCATGGAAAAAATCCTCGACTTTACCACCGACCTCGACGTCGCGCTCCTCGACCAGGTCGTCACCACCTTCTACTCCGGTTCCGGCGAACCACAGCGCGCCGCGGGCAAGATCCTCAGCCAGTTCCAGGAGCACCCCGACAGCTGGAACCGCGCAGCGGAAATCCTTCAGTTCCTGAGCAACTCGCAGGCCAAGTTCCTTGCACTCCAGATCCTCGACAAGCTCATCCAGTCGCGCTGGAAGGTGTTGCCGCGCGAGCAGGCCGCGGGGATCCGCAACTTCATCGTCAACATGATCATTGCGCTCTGCCAGGATGACGCACAATTCGCGGCGCAGCGTCCACTCATCGCGAAGTGCGACCTCACGTTGGTCCAGATCCTCAAGCAGGACTGGCCACAGAACTGGCCGCAATTCATCCCCGAAATCGTTGAAAGCTCCCGCTCTGGCTTCAACGTCTGCGAAAACAACATGCACATCCTCAAGTTGCTCTCTGAAGAAGTCTTTGACTACGGCGCGGACCAGTTGACTCAGGCGCGCGCGAATGCATTAAAGACCAAGATGGAGGAGGAGTTCCAGGCAATCTTCGCCTTGTGCTACGAAGTGTTGGACAAGGCGACGAAGCCCGCACTTGTTGTCGCAACTTTGAAGTGCTTATTGAGGTACTTGCACTGGATCCCGCTCCAGTACATTGTCGAAACAGACCTCCTCGCGTTGTTAGCCGGGAAGTTCCTCGGCCCGGGCGAGACGCGCACAGCCGCGCTCAAATGCCTCACGGAGGCCGCGGGACTCTCGGCTTCCTCGTCGCAGCACACCGCGCCGTTCCGCGCCATGTTTCAAAAGGCTATGGAGCAGATCGTGGCAATCATCCCGCCGACCGCCGACCTAAAGAAGAGCTATCGCACCGCGAATGCCAACGACCAGGCCTTCCTCCAGGACTTGGCGATGTTTTTGTGCACGTTCCTTGGGAACCATCTCGCGAGCTTGGAGGAGGGGATTCCCCTCGCCCCGGCGAGTGGTCTCGCCGCTGCCCCTGGTGCCGCCACCTCCACCACCTCCTCCTCCGGCTTATCCCCCGCCGCGGCAGAGGCGAAGGAGCTTCTCCTCCTTTCCCACACCTACCTTCTCTCCCTCTCCCGCATCGAAGAGCGCGAACTCTTCAAAACCACCCTCGACTACTGGGCCAAGCTTGTTTCCGGCCTCTACGCGGAAATCCAGCAACTCCCCCAGACGGAGTTATCCCCACTCCTCCAGCTCCAGGCCGCGGCAGCAACCAGCGGCGCGCCAAACCCCGACGTTCTTGCCAAATTTCCCCTCCGCAAGCACATGTACGCCTCCATCTGCTCGCAGTTGCGTCTTGTAGTGATTGAGTCGATGGTCAGGCCGGAGGAGGTGCTCATTGTGGAGAATGACGAGGGTGAAATTGTCCGCGAATTCGTCAAGGAGAGTGACACCATCACGTTGTACAAGTCGATGAGGGAGGTGCTTGTCTATCTCACCCACTTGGACGTGCTTGACACGGAAAATATCATGAGCGAAAAGCTCGCGAGACAGATCGATGGCACCGAATGGTCGTGGCACAACATCAACACCCTCTGCTGGGCGATCGGGTCGGTCTCCGGGACCATGAACGAGGACATGGAAAAGCGCTTCCTTGTGGGGGTTATCAAGCACTTGCTCAACCTCACGGAGATGAAACGAGGGAAAGACAACAAGGCGGTTGTTGCGTCCAACATCATGTACATTGTCGGGCAGTATCCCCGCTTCCTCAAGGCGCATTGGAAGTTCCTCAAGACGGTGGTCAACAAGTTGTTTGAGTTCATGCACGAGACCCATGAGGGAGTCCAGGACATGGCGTGCGACACGTTTATCAAGATTGTAACCAAGTGCAAGCGCCACTTTGTGGGAGTCCAGCCGAACGAGCCGGAACCGTTTGTGGATGAGATTATCCGCAACATCCAGCAGATTACCGAAGACTTGCAGCCACAGCAGGTTCACACATTCTATGAGGCATGTGGAACCATTGTGGGTGCGCAGGCCGCGCGTGCCGCGCGCGACACGCTCCTCGCGCAGCTCATGGCGCTCCCTAACATGGCGTGGGCCGCGATTGTCCAGCAGTCGGCCAGCCGCCCCGAGTTGCTCACTGACACCGAGACCGTCAAGATTATCGCCAACATCATCAAGACCAACGTCTCGGTTTGCTCCGCGATGGGGTCGTTCTTCTACCCCCAGTTGGGCAACATCTACCTCGAGATGTTGTCGTTGTACCGTGCCGTGTCGGGCATGATTTCTGATGCCGTTGCCAAGGACGGCCAGGTTGCGACGAAACACGTCAAGGTGCGGGGTTTGAGAACAATCAAGAAGGAGATCTTGCACTTGATTGAAGTGTATGTTGGCGATGCCACCAATAAGGATGAGATTGTGAGCACGTTGGTCCAGCCGTTGTTTGAGGCGGTTTTATTGGACTACAAGACGAATGTTGCGGATGCGCGCGACGCGGAGGTGTTGATCTGTCTCACGACTGTGGTCAGCAAGGTTGGCCACATGATCCCAGACGGGATTGTGGCTATCATGGATAATGTCTTTGCGTGCACGTTGGAGATGATTACGAAGGATTTTACGGAGTACCCCGAGCACAGAGCCGAGTTTTACCGCTTGTTGCGTGAGATAAACCACACGTGTTTCGCTGCCGAGCGGAAGTTACCGGGCGACACGTTCCAGCAGCTCATCAATGCGGCGTTGTGGGCCGCTAAGCACGAGAACAGCGACGTTGAAAACAACGGGCTCGCCTTCTTGGACGACATGTTGGCCAATGTGGCGAACTGCGGGGATGAGAACTTTGCCAACGCGTTCTACTCGTCGTTCTACCTTCCGATTCTTTCTGACACCTTCTTCGTGATTACCGATAGCGGCCACCAAGCAGCGTTCAAGCTCCAGGCACAGCTCTTGTCACACTTGATTGCGCTTGTGGAGAGAAACGCGATCAAGGTGCCGTTGTACCAGGCCTCTGACGCCCCGCAAGGCACGTCGAATGCGGAGTATATCAAGAACTTCCTTGGGACGACGCTTTTATCGAACTTTACGCAGTTGAACGCGCAGCAGGTTGGCGGTTTTTTGACCGCATTGATTGGGACGTATGCGGATACAAACAAGTTTAAGGGGGTCTTGAGAGACTTTTTGGTGCAGATCAAGCAGGTTGGGGGAGACCCAACGGACTATTTGTTTGCCGAGGACAAGGAGAATGAGCTTTTGGCGAAGCAAAAGGTGGAGAGGGAGCGGGCAATGAGAGTGGGTGGGATGTTGAAGCCATCGGAGATGGCAGACTAGAGGGTTTAAAGTGAGGAAAGCAAGCTACCCCATCCAATTCGAACCAACCGGACGGTGCAAAGCGGAGAGAGTGAAATCCCCGGACCGATCCTTTTAGAGATGTCAGTGAGACAATTGTAATTTAATGTATAAGTGAAATTAACAACGTAGGTGACGGCAAATGTTACAACCAAAGCCATCCAATACAACCGTGAATTAGTCATAAAGCAAGACTAATCTCTCCATGCTCCCCTTCCGCTATTCGCACTTTATTTACGTATATTATGATTATGTACAGGTTAGGTCAGTACTAAGTGTATTTCTTGATGGCATCCTGGACCTTAACGTAGCCACCCTTAGGACCCGGAACGGCACCCTTGACCAAGAGGTATCCCTTTTCGGCATCTACAAAGACAATCTGGGAGTTTTGTTCGGTGCAGTTCTTGCCACCCATTCTACCCGGCATCTTTCTCCCTGGGATGGTTCTGCCGGGGTCCTGGTTGGCACCGTAGGAACCACCCTTTCTGTGAGCCTTGGAGTTACCATGGGACGCTGGCTGCCCGCCGAAGCCCCATCTCTTCATCACACCAGCGAACCCTTTACCCTTAGAGATTCCCTTGAGATCGACAAACTGCCCGACTGTGAAATGGTCAGCACGCAACTGGGTGCCCAACGGCAACAACCCACTCTCATCGCGTACAAGGAACTCCATGACCTTCTGCTTTGGGTTGACCGCGGCTCTGGCAAAGTGCCCCAAGAGCTGACGTGTCACACGTGCCACCTTAGCGGCACCGTAGCCCAACTGAACCGCAAAGAGCCCGTCGGTCTCTGGCTTTCTAACGTGAGTAACCTCAACCGCTTCAAACTCAAGCACAGTGCACGGGATCTTTTCACCGGTTTCGTTGAACCATGGTGCCATCCCGGCCTTCTTACCAATCAAACCGCATCTCTTTGGGATCCGCTTTCTCTCCAACGCCGCTTGCATGTCATGAGCAAGCACCGGGCGCGGGGTCTCGATGGCTGGAATCGCCTGTGGAGAGGTTAACGACGCAGCGGTTCTCACCATGCGTGGGTATTGGCGAAGGGTCTTAGCAGGAACACCCAAAGACCAAAGATTTATCATTGTGTGTTATGTGCCTCTGTAGGAGTCGATTCGGGTCTGATCCATTTGACATGAAGTTTTTACTATGTACGCAGAGTGGGATTTTTCAGCACAAGTCACGCGTACGGCGTGTGCATTGAAGTGGTAGGCCCACGCAAACAGGCTATATGCTGCGAGACTTGTTTTATTTAATGGCCCATTCGAGGATATAGCTATTAATAAATGTGAATAAGGGGGGGTAGAGTGGGTGGTACCAGAGGGTATAAGTTGTATCTTGCGTCTGTTTATCCTTCAATCATTGGTTAAACCAGTAAAGACTTAGCCACTCCCCTGAGTTTACGTTTTCTTTACTGTAAGGAAGGGGGTCTAACAGCAAAGTGTTTGAGATGCTATCCAAAAAGTAAAGTTAAATTCATAATGCTTATTCAATATTGTTGGCTCAATTTTATTAAGATTTATTCCGTTAATAACTTAATTCCTCTACCGATCGTGAAGCACGACATTCGACGAGAAATTGCGAAAGAACTTTAGTATTAAATACTTAAGAGCGATAGAAATAACCTCGGCTTCCGATAATACATTTACCTTTTATATATATATATATATTGAATGACTGCTTTATTGCGATCCTTAATCGGGACTAACCCGCCTGGACGTTACCAGCATTTTGGGAGCTCCTACATTTCTTTCGTGTACGTCTTGTTTGTACCTATATACAGAATGCTTGAATAGCTCAACTATTTCACCTTCTTGTCCTTGATCTTGATGGTTTCGTCATCAACGTAGATCCCCTTCCCCTTGTACGGCTCAGGCTTTCTGAACGCTCTCAACTTGGCCGCGTACTGTTTCACAACCTGGAGGTCATTTCCCTCAAGGAAGACTCTGTTCGGTACTGGAACGGTGGCAACGACACCCTCAGGCACGGGCAAGCCCTGGTTGATGGAGGCACCCACCTTCAACACGACCCACGGCTTACCGTCCTTCTCCTCCAAAAACGCTCTGTAGCCGGTCCCGACCAATTTCAACATCGACTTGTGACCCTCAAAACAGCCCACGGTGTTGTTGGATATGAGCTTTCTGAAGGTTCCCCAGAAGGTCTTTTGTGTTTTAATGTCCTCATCCTGGACACTGACACGGATGACAGAGTCCTCGACCTCGACCTTCAAGAAATCCGGTCCGATAAGCGACAATTCGCCCCTTGGGCCTTTAATTGTCACCTTTTTTGACAAAGTAAGCGACTCCTTGCCAAGTCGGGTAGTCTTTGGCTGGGTCAAGTCTTGCACGGTGCAGCTCATACCGGGAAACATGTAGACCGGCTTGCGCCCGGTGGAGGAGAGGACAACACTGGACGTGGAAAACCCACGGGCGGCTCTGACACCGAATCTGACACTGTTCATGATGTATACCTTTCTGGCGTGTAACTGGTAGCTTTCAACGTCAGAGAAATCGGCATTTAGTTTTGTGTGAAAAATTCGGCGTCGACGGGTAACGCCTAAACGTGCGCCAACCGATGGGCTAAATATTTTATTTTTCACCCAAGATAGCCGCAAGGTTACCTTTTGATAAATCAACAGCTGTAGGTAACCTGGCCAGCACTTTTGATATACAATAGCTCCCAGATTCATAATGGTTAGAAAGTTGAAGCACCACGAACAGAAGTTGTTGAAGAAGGTTGACTTCCTCGACTGGAAGCAGGACTCAGGCCACCGCGACACCCAGGTCATGAGAACCTACCATATTCAGAAGAGAGAAGACTACCACAAGTACAACAAGATGTGCGGTGATATTCGCAAGCTCGCACACAAATTGTCACTTTTACAGCCAACTGATGATGTGCGTGTCAAGCACGAACAGTTGTTGTTGGAGAAGTTGTACGCCATGGGGATCCTCTCCACCAAGTCCAAGATCTCGGATCTCGAGAACAAAGTCACCGTTAGTGCCATGTGCCGTCGTCGAATTGGAGTTGTCATGTGCAGATTAAAGATGGCTCAGACTGTTAGCGATGCTGTCAAGTTTGTGGAACAAGGCCACGTCAGAGTCGGGCCACATGTCATCACCGATCCGGCCTACTTGGTCACCAGAAACTTGGAGGACTACTTGACCTGGGTGGATGAGAGTAAGATCAAGCACAACCTTCTCAAGTACAAGAACAAAATTGATGACTTTGACTTGGCTTAGGGTGTGGAACAGGGTGTATAATAGGTAATAAACGAATTAGTAAGGTACGTAGAAACGGCGTTGGGTTAAAATAAGAGACTGAGGAAAGTTTCCAGTTTTATCTAATGTCGAGTTTCTGTCAGTAGACTTATAGCCGCGGGGTTTCCAATCAGAATTAGTTTAATGAACCGGGAAACAGGTAACAGGCGTAATTATAATAAACAAAATTCCTAAACATGGTGAGAATCTTATTCACATTATACCTCTATCTCCTCTTCGCTCGACCATATGCAACGCACTCAGCTCGCTTGTGCGGCTCGGAAAATCTCGCGCTGGCGCCCCAGCATATCTAATATCAAACTCTTCTGTTCACTCTTAATCCTCGTATTTGTTTCCTCAGTTCCATCATCTCCAATGCCCACCACACATATCGGCTACTACGATCCGTTTGATGTCTTTCCTCTAATCTCGACTGAGCTTCGGGCGCATCTTCCCCTTACCAACGTGCACTGGAAGCCGTCATTCACGCCGGCGGGGGCAAAGCCGCTGAGTTTGCGTTCCATTCCCGCATTACCCGTCCAGTTTGCCGAAGAGATCCCCAATGTGGACCAGCAACACGAAGAAACGCCGCCACTCCTCCGTATGATGTTGGTGCAGTGCGACTCGCTTGACATCTACCGCGCCCAGGTGCGCCCGCTCGTCCAGCAGTGGCTCAAGCTCTCAGTGGAGCAGTGTCGGCAACCGATTGAGTGGTTAATTGTGTTCTACGCGCCCGGAGCTGTGTCTGTGAAGAAGAGCACTGCCCTTCTGGAGAAGCTAAAGGTGGATTTCAACGGGACCGGCGAAAGAGTGGTAAAGATTTGTGGGGAGGAGCTGAAGAGCGTGTTAAACCAGCAATGGAATGGGCTTATGAGCGCGTTAAAAATTTCTCTCGTAAGTTCGTTTGATGAGAGGATTAGTTTACTCCACCGGGAGGAGGCCCCAGAGAGGTACCAGAGCCCGAAGGAATCTACTGGCAACTCCACGAAAGCTGGGGGGCCCCAGGATGGCTCAGATAGCCCCGATAGAGATGACACGCCCCCTGGTTCAGACTCTGAGGGCCTCCCCTGGATCAAATTCCTTGTCCAGATGGAAAAAATGGCATTGCTCTACCAAGACTTGAAGATGTTCCAGGACGCGATGAACCAGTACCGCTTCATCCTGCGCTTTGTACACACCCAACTTCCTCTGTTTGTGCTTTCGGACCACATCGATAAGCTTCCAGCGATGGACGACTTCAGCTTTACCTCTTATGTTTCAAAAATGGCCTCGATCAAAGCGATGAAGGAGCCAGGCTCGGTAAACCCCTCTCTCTTCCAGTACAGATGCCACTTGTTTGTGCAGCAAACGTCGCTCCTCCAGCAGTTATCGTTCGGGACGCACTTTTCCCAGATCATTCCCGCGAACTTTTCGGTTGACCACCTGCTCGAACTCCTCGCGTGTGTTAAGGCGTTTGTGACGGAATTGCTGACGTTGCCGAAATCCACGCATGACGCGCGTTTGGTTGCCGAATGGTCGTATGTCGTGGTGGATGGCTATTTGAAATTGCTATCGCAGGTCACCGACCCGGCCTCCACCGCGGACTTTGCGGAAAAACTCGACTCAAAGGCGGAACTTGCGGAGCTTCTCGGGGACTTGCAGTTTGCCCAGCGTTCCAACGCGATGTTTTTGGCCAACAGCATCACCGATTTCCGTGTCAATTTGCACTCCACGATGGATGAAATCTCCCTAGACGAACCCTCGCCGGTCTACTCCTTGACGTACCCTCCCTTGGTCTCCATGATTCTGTCCAAAGCAAACTACATTTCCTGTCTCAGCGACCTCACGCAGGGGATCATCAAAAAGTATAGCTCCCTGAAGACCTCCACCAAGCCCAACACCGTTGACGCTCTCTCCATCGACCTCGCTATGATTGAATGTGTCTACCGCCAGAACTACGCCACCGCAAAGGCGATTCTCCGCGACAGCTTTGCCTTCTATTACCAGCAGGGGTGGTCAGAAATCGGCGGCTTCGTCATGGAACTCTACCTGAAATGTCTTGAGAACTTGATGGCCAGTGAAGAGACCGACGACACCACCCGCGACTTGCTGATGTGCTACTTGGATGGTCTTATCCGCTTGGCCCACCTCAGATCCCTGGAACAGACTGACAGAGACATGCAGGGCCTCTGGAAGAAACTCACCAACCTCACGTTTTCCCCGGAAGCCGAAAGGCTCGTGTACCCGTTGGGAAACTTGTGGCGCGCGGAAATCTTCCCCTACATTGAACACCTTCCGTCTGACCGCATCCGCCTCTCTCTCACCATCGTCAGTCCGTTCAATCTCAGTATCTCCGTCGACAGCGTCTCCCTTTCGGTGCGCAACGTAAACGATTTTGACGAGCAAGTGGTCTTTGATAGTCCTTCCGTGGTCTTGTCTCCGGGTAAAACCACCGTGTCTGTCGAATCCCGCGACATGGTGATGGGCCACTTCCAGCCGTGCGATCTCACCGTACGGGTAAATTCCTTCATCGACCTAGTTCACGACTTTTCAGACACTCCCCCCGTGTTTCTCTACCCGCATCCGTCTAACCTCACGCTTGACGCGTTCGTGCCGCTTGTGACTGACTTGGGAGGCGCAAAAACGCTCTCGCTCAGACTCACTAACGGCATCCAGCGGATTGCCCATGCCTCCATCGAGTTCTGGTCGGGAACGCCGGACCTCAACCTCTTGATTGGCTCAAAACAGGGCATGGTAGGCCGTTCGCGGTTGAACCCCGACCGCCAGATTGCCGTATTGTCCAACAGCAGCGACCTTCTCTCGGTGCGGTTCAGTGACGTCTTGCCCCAAGATGAGCTTGTTATTGACATCCCATACCTGCTGGCGAGTCAAACGCTCAAGCTCAAAGCGAAGCTCACATATGAGAACGAGCAGGGCGAGGTGTTTTCGCACGTGTTGAAGGTCCTTGACTTGGATATTGCCTTGCCGGTGGGCGTCACCGTCCAGGACTTGTTCAAGTCGCATAAGTTGTATGCCCGTTTCAGTGTCGGAGTTGTGAATAACTCGCAGCCGTTGCGTATAGGAGCGTGCAACTTGACATGTGATGCTGGTTATGATATTGCAACAGCCCAGACGTACCCCGGCTCAGTATTGGCCTTCATGAGCCAGCCAGTGTCTGTGTTCTACAAGATTGAGCCGAAAGATAGCCATTCAGTGACCGGCTCCGATACCTTGCGGATGCACATCCGCTACCGCAACCTCCACGAGGAATGTTTGCTCGTGTTGAACACACGATTCCAGGCTTTTGTTGCCGATCATTCTGAGTTTGCTGACTACCTCGTTGTTTTCCAGAGTTTGCTCAAGCGATGTGTCTTTGACTTGGTCTTGTTTTCCACTACCCAGGTTGTAACGTTGACCAGTACCATCCAGGAGCTCGACCCGGAGTGCGTGTTGAACCACATTCGCCCCGAAGCCCGTTCCCGCGCGGTTATTGCGCTATTTTCTCTGTTCTTGCAACCGTTCCAGGTCGGAATTATCATAACTAACGCCATTTCCTACAACTCTATCGACAGGCAGCTCTACTTGCCGGTGCCGATTCCGTTGGTGAACATCATTCACATGGTGGAGTTCCAATACGACGTGGACGCCCGGTACGTGGTGGGCGAGCCAATTGAGATGAGAATTTGTGTTGACTCGACGAGACATTGGCGGGGGGAGACAAAGACAGCGGAAAGGGGTCAGATTGTCGAAGCGGAAGCCAGCGGCCGGAAAGTCGAGCCTCCCGTGAACAATCTGATGGATACCATCATCCCCACGGTGCCTGAAAAGCCCAAGAAGCGGGTGAATTTCAAAAAGTCAGAGACGGAAAGCGGCCCCCGTGATGACCTCTTTGTATTGGATTTGCAAACGTCGGAGAACTGGTTAGTAAGCGGCAACAGACGGGCAAACTTCCAGGTCGCCAAGGATGCCGCGAAGCAGCACTCGCGCGTGTTCAACGTGGTGTTAGCGCCGTTAAAGGTGGGCAAGTTGCCGCTTCCGAAAGTCACTATCCGCTATTTAAACGACGAGGATGAACATTACAACGATGAGGAATACGTGATGGTTGTGGATAATAAGAACGAGACCCAGGCAATCATGATTATTCCCGAGTTGGACCAGATTACGTTCACATTTTAGATGAACAATTCAATTCTTTAAGGGCTAGTTCGTTTCTAGTCTAAAACGGGCGAAATTTACTTGCATAGTCTAGGGTCAGGCATTGGAGGGCAACAGCCCTTTCATACGAAACGTATACTTATATATCTTATTTTCTATTCGTAATTTTAGGAGTACCAGAATCATGCGCTCAAAATCGACCTCAACTACAGTGTCTAGTAAAAGTACGAAAATCTTACCTCTTCGAAATACAAAATGTATCGGTTACACTTTAGCTCTTGGGTTCAACACCAGATCCACGATCTTGCCGATCCCCAACAATTTCTCGTCGTCCAAGTGCTTGCACACAAGTTGGACATGCCCAATACCCTTGTCGAAGGTTTCTGGCTCGTACTTCCGAATGTACGCCTCCTTTTCTCTTGGAACCACGTACTTTGCCGTGTCCACTGCCTTATCGGCCGCACCAAAGGGCAAAATTAGTGCGGGGAAGTCACAGAGGTTCCAAATCGCGGTGTAGTATGGCAATCCAAACGAATCGTGCGGGGGAGCCGTGCCGACATGGCCAGGCATCAACAAGCAGTCCAAGTCTGAGACGTTAAAAATGTCATTCCATTGGGCAATCACGTCAAACCGGTTTCCATTAAGATCCTGAAGTTGAGAGACAGTTGTCACCTTTGGCCCCAAATCTTGTGCTATGAAACTCGAGTCGAGGTTCAGTACAGACTTCACCGGAGGCTCAAAGCCTGCGATAATCTTCTTACGCATGCCTCCGACGTTTAAGGAGTAGAACTTGTAGCAGAGCTTGAAGGAAGCGTGTAAGCTGGGGAACTTTTCCACATAGACAAGCTCGATCCCAGAGTGCGAAGATAACTTATTGCACGCCTCTTGGATAATGCGCTTCATGGACGGATGAAGAGGCACCTCGGGATCCTCCACTACCACCCCGATGCGCAATGGCTTCTCCTGGAGAACATACTCGCACTCCTTTCGCCATTTGACGTTCAACATTTCGGTGTCGATTTTGTCCAAGTTGGGAATCGACAACACAGACTTCAAGATTAACTCAATGTCGTCCATGGAGGTGGTCATGGGCCCCGAGCAGACTTCCAAATTTCCCGACCCGCGGCGCGCATTATCGATGGGCTTCGTCTGCTTTGCACTCGGGAACCGCTGAGCGGAGGGCTTGAATCCATAGATTCCGCAGCAGAGGGCTGGCAATCTGATGGACCCCCCGATGTCCGTTCCAATCGAGATATTCCCTGCACAGGCCCTGATCAAGGCAGCAGAGCCCCCAGTGCTCCCACCTGCGGTCCAGCTAGTGTTGGAGGGGTTCAAGCATCTTCCGAAGATGTTGTTATCTGAGTCGACCGTCATCATCGTCTGGGGAACGTTGGTTTTACAGTAGATCACAGCGCCAAGCTGGAGCAACGCGGTTACCGCAGTCGACTGCTCGAGCTTGTCCTTGTTTCCAATGTTGTCAATAAAACCCAAGGTTGAGTCATAGCCCGGAACGTTGAAAGGGTCCTTAACGGAGATTGGCAAGCCGTGCATCGGCCCAAGGGGCTCGCCACGCGCAGCCAAATGCGCGTCGCATGCGCGCGCACGGGCCAAGGCGTCGTCGAACATGAGTTCCGTGCAACACTTGGTGAGTTGGTTGGCGATTGCCGTCTTCTTGCATACTGCGAGCGTGAGTTCCTCGCTGGTGATCTCGCGGGATTTGAGCTGCTCCAAGAGCTCAGTGCTGGTGTACTTGCTGGTCAAGTCGATCTCTTTCTGAGAGAGAATGTGACCTACAACCGCAGGATCGTTGATGATCGCAAGTACGGAGTTTCCTGAGGATTCCGTGAACTGCGCGGCAATCTCGTCCGAGAGAAGCCATTCGGGAGGCACGGTCGCAAGCACCAGCGCACGTTTAGCCTTGGCCTTGGCCTGATAGTTGGAGAAGTAGAAAAGGCAGGAAGTTGCGGCCTTGTAGGCCGAGTCAGTAGCAGTATAGTAGAGCGAAGTCATCGAGTTTAGCCGGTGGTGGTATAGCAAGTGAAACAATGCTGGAGGCTGACCCTTTTATGGATTTAGGGGGGTTTTGCGGGGAACAGAAACTGCGATAAAGATGCAGGATGGGGTGCAGATATGCAATTCGCTGAGGGGCAATGGGAATGCTATATCTGTAAATTTTTAGCCAATAGCTACTGTCAGTTGATATCAGAAGCTTTAACTTTCCACATGAATTGAAAGTTATTAAATAGGTGTAAACGGGGTAGCCCGTACGTGGTTGAAAGAGTGGTCAGCTAGCACATGCAAAGAGCATGTGCTTAGTCCTGGGGCCTATACATGAGGCAATTATGCAAGGTCCCGTCTCCCAAAAGGCTTTGGACCGCGGGTTTAAGGGGCATAAGTGACAATATACTAGACAGTTGTCAGAATACTATCCAACTTCCTAATTACATCCAGTGTTATTCTCAATCCAAAACTTTGTACGAATTGCAGCTATTGTAGTCTACCGTGGGATTAGCATATGATAGCTTCAAGTAGACGTTTTCAAGGATCTTCAAACCTTGCTATCCGAATATGTTACTTGGTTGCCGAGAAATATTCCATCAATATCAAGAATATAATACTCCTGCGGGATCTTACTCGCTTTGGGATTCTCGGATGGGCTCCTATGTATATCTGACTAATCAGAGAAAGGCTTTTTGAGGGTCCGGTTGAAAATCTACCGGCAAACGTATTAGAAGTGCATCGGTTATAATATAGCACGCTCCGCCTATCATCTCTCCATCTTTGCCCAATGCTTTGGAAATTGAAACATTTTAGCTCAATTACATTCTGTCCATTGAGCGATGCTAAATCACCCACTCTGGCATACCGTCAGAAACCGACTGGGAAGCCGTCGAAGTGTGTCAGCCAAGGCCCTATTCTTTTTTCCTCAAAAAATCAGCTCAAATAAGAATCTACTATTCTCAGTATTCCGACACAAATCTATAAGAATCTGCTTTTGCAATGCTTATATAAAACCCAAGAGGTTGAACCTCCTAGTTGCCGCTTTTGGACACGTGACATTCCCCCCTGGGGCATTATCCTGCGTTTAGCCCAAACTCATGTCTGCAATTACAGCCATGCAAGTATTGCCTCTAGATTAAGGCTGTGTCACTCATTGTAAGACGTAGTGATTATACATCAACCGGACTATCGTATACCACGGCAACCATGGCTTTCAAAGACTTTTTAAACTTCTCCGGCTTCTCCGATGACTTCAAGGCCAGAAACTACTCTGTGTACGGCCAATGGTGAGTATTTTCTGCTTCTGTTTCTGCTTCTATGCTAACCTACGGTTAGGACCGGTATCATCTCGATTTTCGTGTGTATCGGTCTTGGTATCGCCAACCTCTTCCACGTCAGTGTGGTCATAGTCTTTGGCATTATCTGTATCGTTCAAGGTCTTATCCTTGTGTTTGTTGAAATTCCATTCATGTTGAAGTGCTGCCCGATGTCGGATAACTTTGTCAACGCAATCACAAAGTTCGAACAGAACTGGTGGAGAGTGGGGTTCTACGTGGTTATGGCCTTGGTCCAGTGGTTAAGTTTAACCGTCATGGTTACCAGCTTGATCTGTCCTGCGATTATTTTAACCTTTGGTGCTGTTTTCTACGCCATTGCTGCCTTGAAACATCAGGAGTTTGTCAAGAGTTCCATGGTCAACAACGGTGGTAAGGTTGTCGACAACCAAGAGTTCATCAGACAAGTGTTGTAAGCGAGCCACTATAGCTGAATGGGTTCCAAGGTATGATTTAGAGGAATGTACCCTGGCAGTTGAGGTAACCCAGACTTTCCCATCCCCGGATAGGGAACAATTCCTTTAACTTTTTCTGTACTATATTTTGGGACAATAGTGCAAGTATTTTTTTGTGCTTTATTTGAATATCTTTGCTTAATTCAGAGCGTGCTATTAATAAGGGGTGTTGTAGGAGTTAAGTCCTACTGGCGACGGATGGCTTTATTCTACAAAGTTATTATATCTATAATTTGGGTTTTATTTTTAAAATCCGGTTGAGGTCATAAGTCGCGCTGCTTGTTTCTCCAGACGTAATAGTATCTGGTACCAATCAAGATGGAGAACATCAACACCGCCATTACAAACAACACCCTGTTACCGGTTCTGTACAATGGAGTGTCGTTTTTTTCGTACACGAAACTGGCAATAAGGCTGCCTAGCTGCACGGAAATGCTGTAAAACAAGGGTGAGATAGTTCTGGAGTTGGTGGACACCCAACTGACACAAACGGCGTGGAGATATGGGTTACCCAAGACCAACGTGGTGACAGTGTAAGTACCCCACTTGTTAGTCATGGTTCTAGACTACCAACACAACACCCCTAATAACGTCACGGTATAGAACGGTTGGAAAAGCGACATGAAAGTTCTCAGATTGAACTTAATGGCGCACCACGAGAAGGCAAAAGCAAGATAAAATGGAGCACTAGGTATGGAATGCTTAACAAATTTGTGTTGATAACTGAAACCCCCATTTGTCTTTGGTTAAGGAAGGGTACGCGGTAAGGGTATTTGTTGGAACGTGCGCAATGAGACCAATCAAGTAGATTGGCCACAAATCGTAATCACAAATACTCCTCCACACATGCCGTGGCACCCTGAGTCAATCTGATACGGCGCGACGTGATCGTATGAACAGAGTGACTTACCGTTACAAACTATAAGCGTTGAAACATTAGAAAGATCACATGTACCATGTCTCTGTCAATAGCTGGCTAACATGTGTTATATGCCTTGAGTAGGAAACTTAGAGATATGTTGGTTTTATACAAAGAGGCCATGCAGCCTCTGCATGGGAGCCAAGGTGTATACATTTCAGACTCATATGGTTCTTAACCGAATATGTTGGATAAAGAGCGGAATCCAAGTGGCAATGTCGAGGAAACCTATTGGCCTTCGAAGATCAGCGCCGTTTTGGTGTATAATTGAGATCTAGTTCATCTTTTCTCGGCTAATTCCAGGGCTACGAATCTCTAGAGCACTATCACTGTTTTCTTTCCGTCTCCGGGGCTTATACTTCAGAGTTAGATTTAAGCATAAACAGCATCTATTTTAAACACATTAGTGATGATATACTGAGGTACGAGTACCGCTAAGTTGTGGAACTGTGGTCAGTAACGGATACGACAAAAAACTGTGATCTGGGGTAGGAAATTAGACATAACTGTGTTGGTATACAAACGCATCTTTAATCCAGGTATCAAAACTTATAAATAACATACATGTAGTAACTTATAAAGTTAATATTGCTACAAACAATATGTTTTATAGTTGATGTGAGGGACATTTCGGCCTACAGTATGCCCAAACACTTGGTGAAGATCAAGATTGTGACCTGTGTACTACCCATATTTTGATTCATCGGTAAAGATATCGATTCCTTGTTCCGAAAACAAAGATATGCATGAGCACGAAAATAAAATCACACGATAAGGAAAGTGCTGGTGTTAATACGTGGCAACGGAAAGTATAGATTTTTATATATATTCCTACTACATACATGTGTATAAATTAATTCAGCAATACAAGGTCCGAATAAGTACAGATATAGAAAAAAGGTCAATATAAAAGTACAATTTGTGTAATACATGTATATTATACTTTTGTATCAAAGGTTAATTTCTGGTTATTTGAAGTTATATCCTAGCTTGTTATAGATATATAAACATTCAGATTAAGGTTAATACTTTAAATAATATTTATCAATATTATGATTATAAATCGAATCTAATACTAAACACGCTACTATTTATTTAAAAAAAAAACTCATACCCTATAACCAGATTAGCATATCTCTGGAAATATAAGTATGGTCAATAAAAAATATACAGATAAAAACACATTCGAGCGTTGTTTCGATACTAGAACTCTGCATGTCAACATACATGCATAGAATTAATCGCTAGCCTCCCAGGTCCTACATGTCGTCACTGCGGCTCAATCGAACATACGTGGTGAAGATAACGCATGCCAGACATGTTTACACCTTAGATCTTTGAGTCACAGCCCAAGACAGGTACACGTTAATCCATTATACAATATTTCCTCGTCAGCTGGTATACCTGGTAGACTGTCTTTGAAATAACGTGCCACTTTGTTCATCGTATGCATCTATTGGGAGCGGAAACCGGAAGTGCTGGTGCACCACGGAGCCAGGCATTCAGTAATCCCGGTGGTCTACGATCCCAAATTGGTACCCGATTAACAATATGCGTTAATTTCTAGGATTCCAATCGACCGTATTCTCTTAAATCTGAACCCAATGCGCCGTGCAATTTTAGCTGCTTCCCAATCGGAAAGACGGCGTTCTATACATGTGGGATAACTACAAGCGGCATTGCCTTACTTTCCGGTCTGCTTGTACATAACGCGCGCTATAGATTCGTAACCTTTAATATTTTCACCAGAGATTCTTGTGAGTGGCGTCATGGAGCCATATTACCCAAACCTGCCAGTGTCTTGGCGTTGCGAGAATTATGCCGCACAGGGGAAGCCACGTGCGCGCTTATCTCCCCGTACATTTCTTAAAATGACGCAGGCCTTAATTACCTTTTCCCACTTGCGCCACAGGTAACATGGGCTGTCACAATACTAGAGGGGGGTAGCAATAGTAAACGCTCAACCAGATTACCAAGACCTCGCAGTACAGTCAATCGAGGCACAATTCCATAAATTTCCACGGGGTATTTGCTATGAGACCTCTCACAGTCGAGAGGAGACTAATGGGCGCAGGAAGGTCCGGGGAGCACTGGCATGACAGCCCTACATACGTATGTAGTGCATATCCTGTACATATACTTTGCCAATTAATAAACTTTGGAGAGGTCACCGTCGTACAATCGGGGCGGTCTTGTGATGGTTAATTCTAGCCTCTGAGCAACTTCGAGGGATTAAACACATCAAGTTGGAGCTTGTATAAGGATATAAAAATCCCATCCGTCTGATTCAATTACACTCCTTATTTATTAAACCACAAGACCAAAATGCACCCACGTGCCTCACTGAGCTTCAGCTCTCAAGGTTCCTCCTCCACCGTATCACCGAGCCAGGCTATACAGACCAGCGTGCCTTCTGTGCCGCAAGCGGATAACGACGAGCTCTGGTCGTTGTCCAGCGCGAAAACATTGGTAGATTGCTTCCTCCAAGAGCCGAGATACCAGTTTGACTTCAATCGCCAGGCTGCCTTGCTCACTATGTTCAACACTCGATCCGAAATTCTCATCTTCCCCTCGTCTACCGCGCTTCAGACCTACAAGTTTTGTAAGAAGTACGCCAAGGTCTATCCCGAAAGAGTGCATTACTTCCAATCACAGGGGTTAGGCTCTCCCGTGTTGGTAAAAAGCTCCCCAAAACCATCGTTGAACATATTCTCCAGGCCGAAGACTAATGTTCCGTGTATCACGATTTACAAGTACATCCAGCCCCCGCTACCAAACCAGAAAGAGGCCAATATGGATAAACATGAGTACGTGAAGGTGTACGAGAAGCCCGTTAACGACAAAGCGTGCACAGCCTTTACATTGGCCTTTACCCCGGATCCTCTTAGCCCCGAAAACAATTTCCAGATCACGATGTTGAGTCACCATTCCAAGAACTATATCGACTGTATGGTGAAGGGCACCAAATTGCGGATCATGGAGAGAAAAACCAAGAACAGAGCCACCAATATCTCCAAGAGCCTTGTCAAGGCGTTGGTTCTCGACGATGAGATGGAGATCCTCAATGACTACTACAGTGAAAACTTACCTGAAACTGGGACTGGTAAGGGCAAAAAGCAAGACTCTGGTAGTATTTCCCCCGATTGCCACTTAATGAACGACTACGCATACATCGACTCCGCTCCGTTACGGCTTTTCTTCAGTAATTTTAGGAGAAGTCCACAGAGCTTCAAGGATATCGCCCAGTACACCTCATCCACTCTCGATTTCAGCGCAGAAATCCCCGAGGAAGAGACCATCACCATCTTGGAGAATAGTGGCCGCACGGCCGATTCGGTAGCCCACGAACAGTTTGAGGCGCGAAGGCGGACAAAAACGTCGTTTCCCTCTTCGGTAGCAGCTGAGAATGCCTTTTTGTTGCCTGATTCGCCGTCCTTTTACGATACATTCCTGTCCTTTTCACAGAACGAAAACTCCCTTATTTTGAGTTGTATTTTGATGGTGGCGAAGGAGCAGAAGATGAAGCAGAAGTGCACAGGATCGAAGCGGCGCGAGGCGTTAGTCAGTTCGTGCGATTCCACGGAGACGAACTACACCGGGCAACTTGGATTGGGACACTTGGTAACGTAGTGAGGGGATATGGGGATGGAGGGTTACGTGTAACAGGATTTACACGAACCAAATCTTCAGACGTCGGTCCTGTCTGTTGTGATTAATACATAGGTTTATACTCTTTTAATCGATCAATACAGATTTACTAGGCAGAATATTAGAGGAGAAAGGGTGGTGCCACTCCAGAGTAGTTACGGAGGTCTCATTGATTATCCAACGGTATACTCAATTCCCTTAGATAGAGCATGTGGTTGTATTTCCGATATAGCCTATTTCACACGAGAAATTCTAGTTTACAGGTGCTAAGCCCTTTCGGATCAAATCCTGAACTATAATTTGTTAGGGCTATCGCTCTCGATCCAGAGCGGCTAGTGATTACTAAGGTAATAAGAGACATTCCAGTTGTGGGGCTGCATAGTCTCAACGTTTGCACCGTCTGAGTTCTTATCGGTTTTATCTTGTGGGTATGGGTATGTTGTTACTGTGACCAACCTCGGATCGGCCCGCGTTTCTCGGGACATGTGTGAAAAGCTAAAAAAGCAATAATATGCACCTACATGGACGAATGAGGTACCCTCAAGCGCGCGAGCCAGAACTTTTCCGCGCCGGTCCCTGTGAAGACGTCCACGGAGCGCATGGCTGCAACGCGGAAGAATGGATGTGGAAACATGTATGCATGGAGTTAGTAAGTGAATTATGAGTGAGGTTTGGCCATAAGACGGAGGTTCTAACAGTTACAAAAGTTTTGAACAGAATTAGCATATAGGAGTCCATCTTCACCTTTGTATATAACCCCTCTATTCCTCCCGCGTGACTAACATCTCGTCAGCCATCTTACTAGGGACCTTCACAAATCATTAGGACCCCAAATCATTAAGACCCCAAATCACCAAGACCTCAAATCATTAAAACCCCAAATCATTAAGACCCCCACAAATCACACATTCCAGCTATGAACGACTCGGAAGGAAAATTGTCGGTGGCTGACACCTACCAAAAAGACCCAGAGAAAAACGATGGACAGGAAGAGGCAGGCTATCCCGGTGCGGCAGAAATCTCGGAAGCCAGGCCGGAGGTGTTCACCTCTGCCATCCAGGAGTACATGGTGGTGATGATCTGCACGCTTGCAGTTGCGGCTGCTTCCATCTCTGGCGGCTGCTACCAAATGTCACTAGAGCACACAGGGAAATACTTCAACATCAACGGTGGTCTGTTGACGTGGGCTATCGGTGCGAATAGTTTGGCCGTCGGGGCGTTTCTTCTCCTTTCGGGCGGGGTTGCGGACGCCTTTGGCCGCAAAAACTCCTTGATCATCAGCATTATCCTCTACAGCGTGTTTAATTTAATCACTGGATTTATGCAATCCTTTATTTCGTTGTGCATCTTCCGGGCGTTCATCGGGATCTTTGTTTCGGCCGCAACACCCGCCTCGGCCGGGATCTTGGGGGCCAGCTACTCTCCTAGCAAGAGAAAGAACCGAGTCATGGCTTGTTTTGCCGCCGGTGCACCCTTAGGCTACATCGCTGGGTTGATTGTCGGTGGTATTGCTACGGAATACCTCAGCTGGAGGGCCTGCCACTACTTTTTGGCCATCGTCTACATCTTCTTAGCGCCGCTAATCTACTTTTACGTCCCCCAGGATGCAACCTTAGACAGGAAGACAGTGATAGCGAAGCTAAAGTCGTTAGACTACTTTGGGGCGTTCCTCATTATCAGCAGTTTTACCCTCATTGTCTTTTCCTTGACCCAGGTGGATGTCACGCAGGAGAAGTGGAACACTCTGTACATCATCGCGTGCCTTGTGCTCGGGATTGTCATCCTTGGCTGCTTCGTGGTGTACGAAATCTATATTCCCGAGGACCCGTTGCTCGTGGTGGAGCTCTGGAAAAACCGCAACTTTGTCATAGCCGTGGTGTGCATGGGCTTCTGTTGGATGGATTTCAATGCGGTGCTCACCTACTATGCCACTTTGTACTTTCAGTACATCAAGGACTACAGCCCGTTGCACACCACTGCGGTCGCCATGCCCATGGGTGTTGCGGGTGTCATGGTGAACGTCTTTGCGGGCTTGACGTTGCATCTTATTCCTGGCCGTCTCTTGATGATGGCCAGCACTCTTTCGTTCTTGGCAGCTGCAATCATCTGGGCCACCATGGGTTACGACAGATCCTACTGGTCCGGGCCTTTCATCAGCTACGTTCTTTCCGTCATCGGGGCTGACTTGGCGTATAACGTTGTCAACATGGTTTCCCTTTCCTCCGTGGCCAAGCACTTGCAGTCCAGAGCTGCCGGGACGTTCAACACCTTCATCCAGTTGTCTGCCAGCATCGGGCTAGGGGTCTCTTCCGCTATTGTCAGCGCCACATACCCCGCTTTTGGGACCCCTGAGGGCTATGCGAACAAACTCGGGTTGTTCAAGAGCTTTAAAAACGCATACTGGTTTGGTGCTGGCTGCGCAGGGGCCGCATTGGTTCTTTCCTGCTTTTTGCAAGTGGGGACCGCTGGGGATCAAAAAGACGCCGAAAGAGATGCTAAGTTACAGGCTAAAGCGGAGCGTGAGCGGTCTGAGGGGTTGAGCAACAAGATACTGAATGCGTAAGCTTCAATAGATTGCAATTGTATACGTATCTATTGCATGACCATTATGATTAGAGTATTTAGAACATAGCTTTTTCACTCGGATATAAGTTTCGTCCGTCCAACCTCGGAGATTGTAATCGCCTTAATGTGCGGGGTTCAACACAATGGTAGTTGTGCATCCTCCCAAACATATGCCATTTGACATATCTGCCCCTGTAAAAAAAAAGTTGAACCTCTGGTGAGAGAATTGTGGGGAATAATGTCTCTATGTGGCTGGCACGGCTATTGCCGCAAAACGGCAAAATGCGGAAAAACGTGCATCCGCGAGCGCGAATAGCCTTGTTTCCGCGTCTAACCGCAACGGCCGGCTGCCTCGAGGCAGTAAATTCTTTATTCGTACCGAAAAACTTGCATGCTGCATGCAACAAGGCGCCATCTGCCAAGGGAAGGACTTCTACGGCCGTCAAGGTGGAGAAATTGTATCAGATTTCAACCACGCGTTTCAAAAATTTTCATATGTATTTAAAGATGACCTTTTCCTGTTTGCAATGCTACTTCTAAAGTATTCCTGGAACCACATTCATACCACGTTGCTTGGATCCTGGAATACACCTCAACACACACTCACTTGCATCTCACTCACTAGCATCCTTCAATGACTAACTCCATACGATCCGAGTCTTTATCACTCAAACTATCTGGCCACAACACCCAAACATTCCATCTCAGTGGTACTGACAGCCAACCAGATCTCGAGAAGGGCGAACCAACTCCCGTGGCAGTCATATCGGAGGCCAGACCCGAGGTTTTCAAATCTGGGTTACAGGAGCTCACGGTCGTGATTATCTGCACCTTTGCCGTCGCTGCTGTCTCCCTTTCCAGCGGGTGTTACCAAATGTCTCTACTGAGTGTGGGCACATATTTTGACGTCAACGGTGGACAGCTAACCTGGGCCATTGGGTCCAACAGTTTGGCCGTCGGGGCGTTTCTTCTTCTATCGGGTGGAATTGCCGATGCCTTTGGTCGCAAGAACTCCTTGATTGTGAGTATGTTCCTCTACTGTGTGTTCAACTTGATCACCGGCTTTATGGAATCGTTCATCTCACTTTGTGTGATGAGAGCGCTAATCGGGGTCGTCATCTCTACGGCCACTCCCGCTGCGGCAGGTATCTTGGGGAGTAGTTACGGCCCCAGCAAGCGCAAGAACAGAGTAATGGCCTGCTTTGCGGCTGGTGCCCCCTTGGGTTTTATCGGTGGTTTGGTGGCGGGTGGGATTGCGGCCCAGTTCTTGAGCTGGAGGGCTGTGCACTACTTTTTGGCCATCGTATACATAATCTTTGTGGTGTTGATCTACTTTTTGGTGCCCCAAGATAAGACGTTGAATAAGAAGGAAGTGCTCCATCAGTTGAAAGCCTTGGATTACACCGGTGCCTTGTTAATCGTCAGCAGTTTTACCCTCATTGTCTTTTCCTTGACCCAAGTGGATGTCACGCAGGAGAAGTGGAACACCCTGTACATCATCGCGTGCCTCGTGCTTGGGATTGCCATTCTTGGAGGCTTTGTTGCATACGAAATTTACATCCCTGAAAACCCGTTATTGGTGGTGGAGTTATGGCAGAACCGCAACTTTGTCCTTGCCGTTGTATGTATCGGCTTCTGTTGGATTGACTTCAACTCCATCGTTACCTATTACGGTACGATGTACTTCCAGTATGTCAAGGGCTACTCCCCGCTTCACACAACCGTGGTGACCATTCCAATGAGTATCACAGGTATCCTTGTGAACCTCTTTGCCGCCTTCACCTTGCATATTATCCCTGGCCGTTTCCTAATGATCTTTGGAATCTTTTGTTTCCTTGCATCGTGCCTTATTTGGGCCACCATGGATTACTACAGGACCTACTGGACCGGTCCTTTCATCTGCTATGTCCTTGCGGTCATCGGGGGTGATTTATGCTACAATGTCGTCAACATGGTGGCTCTTTCCTCGGTTTCCAATGATTTACAGTCGAGAGCAGCCGGTACCTTCAACACATTTATCCAGCTTGCTGCGAGTATTGGCTTGGGGGTCTCTTCCGCCATCGTCAGTGCCAAATATCCTGAAATTGGCACGCCCGAGGGTTACGCCAACACCCACGGTTTGTTTGATGCGTATAAGAATGCCTACTGGTTTGGAGCTGGCTGTGCGGGTGCCGCTTTGGTATTGTCTCTTTTCTTGAAGGTTGGCACCGCTGGTGACCAGAAGGATGCCGATAGAGACGCCAGATTGCAAACCAGGGCCGAGCGTGAAAAGGGGGCTGCCAGTGAGACCGCCAGTTTCTAAGCTGGCTTCTCCATCAAAATGGTCGAATCCCATTGAAATATAGATTGCAACTTCCGTTTTGATTTAATAGTAAGCTTCGTTGTTGTAGTAAGCGTGTACCTGTCACGTGGTAGGGATCAATATTCTATATAAGGAGGTCGATCCCTCCCTCCTTTATCCTATATACATTATAGAGGTAACCAGCATTACTTATTACTATAAGTAGATATTCTACCCTTGAGGTAGAGATATACCACAGTTGTATTGACTTTTACAATGTAAAAACATTGCTCACATGCCACTGGTGCTTGAACCTTTGAAGGAATGGGGGGGACAATATCTAATAGTTTCTTAGACCGGTAGCTACATACCCAATCCGTTTGAAGCAAGAATAAAAACCAGGCACCCTTATATTTCCAGATATACTAATACCCCTGAGGGTTCAAGCAATAAACCTATTAATGAAACAAGCTTACATTTTAGAGAGACGGCCCGCCAAGTGAGACCCTCCGTCGATTGGTAACACGACACCGTTGAGGTAGTCACTGCCAACACCGCCACACAAGAACTGGACGATCCCCATAAAGTCCTGGGAGTTACCCAATCTTCCCCTTGGGTTGTTCTCCTTGTAAGTATCCCCAATAACCTCCAACAAACCATTAGACATCTTGGTAGGGAAGAAACCAGGCGCAAGGACATTGACGGTGATATTGCGTGGACCCAACTCCAACGCAAGAGCTCTACCCAAGTGGTTCACACCAGCCTTGGAAGCTACATACCCGTAGGTACCGCCCATGCCCATATCAGCGCTGATGCCAGCGATAGAACCGGTGATCAAGATTCTGGCAGGATTGGAAGGAGTACCGTCCTTTTCCAACAAGGACAAGTGTTTTTGAATGGAAGTAAAGACTGCGGTAACGTTTAAATCCAAGATCTTGCGAACGGCCGAGGCAGGGTGGGTCTCGATCCCCTCACCCCAGGATGCGCCGGCGTTGGCGATCAAGATGTGGAGCTTGTCGACCTTAGACACGACAACCTTGTAAAGAGCGTCCAAGCCTTGGTCGTTGGCAATATCAGCAGCAACCCCGATGATTTGGCACGTTGGATTGTACTTGGCGGCGATAGATTCAAGGTACTTCTTGGCCTCCTGGACCGCCTTGTCCTTTCTGGAAGTAATAAAGACGATAGAGATCTGAGCGCGGACTAAACCCTCGGCAGCGTCGAGGCCCAAGCCTCTGGAGGAACCAGTAATAAGGGCATTTTTGCCAGAAAGGTTGATTGGAGCAGACATGTTGTGCAAATATTTATAACTAAATCCTTGTGGGTGGATGTGAGATATTCACAAGGGGGACGCTGCGGCTTTAAATAGCAATGGAAAAATACCCCACATCGTCCTTGTGATGGTTTCGGTACGCGGGAAGCTGGGGCGGTTGGCTGCAGTTCTGTCTCAGCCGAACTCCGATATAAGTCACGTGATCATGGCCTAGGATGACAAATTAGCAGATACGTCGCTGACTTGATGTTTGGCTGGGGTACTATGGTTTCAAGGCTCGGAGACGAGATTCCGAGAGCCCCCCCACTAATTATATTGGAGTTTCTAAGCCCAAGTCTGTACCGTGATGATATATGCCGAGAGCGTGGAAAAAGCTGCTAATCGGCAATGCCAAGCCTCTGCCAAAATAGGTATTACTAAATAATCCAGGAGTGACGTTTCTCCCTTTTAGAAGGAAATAAAAGGTGTTTGAGCTGGAATCTCCAGTAAGTTGATGAAAAGACTCAGTCTTGGCTGGATTTTTCATTTCCCCACCTCTTGTGCAGCAGGCTTAACGGCTGTACGTGCCTTGACCATTTTCCCGGTGAATCAACGACCAAAATGCTCCACCATGAAAAAAGTCAACCGTATACGGAGGAGCCTTATCGCTCTTTAGCGTATACAGCTCCTCGTCATGTTTGTCGTTTACGTTGTTGCTTCCATCTACATCGTTATAAAAATGTACCAGCTTTTCCGCAGATTCTTTTCCACCGCTCCCGCTACCGACCCGGCAGTCCTCCAAAAAGTTCAGTCATTGATCGCGTCTAACGCCGTCTTTGTTGCCTCCAAGTCCTTCTGCCCATACTGCTCCTCCACCAAGCAGACCTTACAGAAGATGAATGCCCGGGCAGAGATTTTGGAGTTGGACAAAATCGCCGATGGCAGTGCTATCCAGCAGGCTCTTCAGGAGATTTCCGGCCAGAAGACCGTGCCGAACGTGTTCATCGGTGGTAAGCACGTTGGTGGCAACTCTGATGTGCAAAACTTGTACCAACAGGGTTCTTTGAGCAAGTTGATTGAGGAGGCGACCAAGAAATAACGGGTGGATATGTAATACAAAAAGGTGGACACCGGGTCTTCTCAATAGATATGTATATATATAGTGGAATCAAACAGGATTTAGGCGTAAACGCGACCCTAGAAAGTCGAATCTAGATGTTAACCTGATATCAAAATAGAATGCAGCTATTGAGTCAAACAGCATGGCAGTTGCCTGTTAGCTAAAGGAATCTAGTGGTTTGGACTTTAGCAGCTACAACTTGGTGCAAAATGCTGACGCAACTTTGATCTCTTCAGTTAACAATACATTATAATATACAGTGATGTCCCCCTAGTACGTCTTGGCTGGACGGCCGCCCTTCTTGTTCTTGGTCTTGCCCTCGAATCCGGCTCTCTTCTTGTGTCTGCCACCGTCCACAACCCCCTTCATGCTCTTCAACATCTTTTGTTGCTTCTTCCCCTTGACCCCCTTGTTCTCCTTTCTCAACTGCAAGTTGTCCTCTCTTCTCTTGACCTTGGCGGCAATGGAAGCGGTGACGTTCTCCTTTCTCTCGACCCACTCGCCAGCGGACTTTCTCTTCCCGGCCTCTTTCTTTCTCAACGACTTCTTCAACAAGTTCACGTCGTCCTTGACCTTTTTCCCCTCGGCCTGCGCCATCACTCGTGTCCACTTCTGCTGGTCCTCCTTCTTGGCACGGTCCTCGGGCGACAACGTGCTCAACTTTTCCTTATTCTTCTCGATGCTGCGCAAATGGGCTTTGATATCGTTGTTGGCCGGGCCCTTCTTCTTCTTGGAAACCGTGCGGATGGCGGTCAAGTCCGATGTCACCTTGGACCCATCGGAGAACTCAATGTTCTGGAAAAGTACGTTGTTGGCGGTGGCGGTGTCGACCTCGCCCTCAGAGTCGTCGTCTGAGGACTCGGAGTCGGACTTTTCCTTCTCCATTTCCTCGTGCCGGCGCTTCTTCAGCTCCTCCTTCTTTCTCTTGCGCTCCTCCAAGATCTGGTCTCTGGACTTTGGCGCGCCCGGGACGTTGGTGCCCGGTGCGCGACGCTTCTGCTTCAACGCCTGGATTCTGTTTGCAAGCTTCTCTCTCAAGAGGCGGAGGTTTTCGTCCTTCGCCTTCTGCTCTTCTGGACTGAGTTCTTTCTTCACTGGCGCGGCCCGAGCGAGCGCCTTTGCAGATTTGACCTCAACCTTCTGGCCTTCGTCATCGAAGGCCACGTCTAATTCCTCGTCAGACTTCAACAACGGAACGTCCAGGCCCGACTCCAAGTCGGAATCCACATCCATACCATTGTCACTCATGTCGCTGTCGCTCGCTTCGGCCTCACCGGCTACAGGCTCGGTCGGTGCGACCCTCTTTCCCGGAAGCACCACCGGCTTGGAGGTTTCCTGCTTGTTGTCCAAGACTTCTTTGGCGGAAGCACCGAAATTGTTGTAGTCGTCGGCATTTTTGGCGGCCTCTGGGTCCAACTTGGCGCGCTTGTTCTCGCGCAACTCGTCCTTGGACTTTTTTTTCTGCTGCCACTGGTCCTGGGTGGCGGAGTCGTAGTAGAACTTGGCTGGGATCAACGATAAGAGACCATCGAAAGCGGAAGAATGCGTCTTGAGACGTTCCTATAGGTTAGTACTGCCATAGCTGGGGCTTTAGACAAAACTTACTTCTAAAGACTTGCTCATTGTGTCGGGATAGTGCAGAGCTTGCAAAACAAAACGATAGTAGCCGGCGAAAGTTTTCAAGTACTGTATGCAAAACCATTTAGAAAAAATAATTTTCAGCTTAGGTAAGCGCGCAGGCGATGAGCAGCCGCGCCATCAGTGCAGGAGTGATAAGAGACAGAGGGGTGACTGAAGGTTCATTGATTGTGTCATTGTCTTTTTACAGTTAATGGTTGATTCAAGTTAGATGTGGATTTACGGAATGGCCAATAAATTATGGAAGCGCGAGGCAAATTGGTTTAGGTGAAGAGGGTGAACGACGATTTCTTATGCAGAGTACAATTTTCCAACTTCGCCAGTAGGGGTGGGCCAATTATTTCGAATACAACCCGGGAGGAGTTTACCGAGAAAGTGCCAAACAGGACAATACCATGGGTGGAGCCGTGAAGAAGTGGTTTAAATAGATCATTGGAAAAGTATAGACGGAATATTTGTTACGGGTCGCACCTCCACCCATGGCGTTTTTACTCGATTAATAAACAAGCTTGATAAATTAATGGCAAAGCTCAAGGTTTACACCGTATTAAAATTGAAACCCCTAAGGCATAATCCCATGCTCCGCAGTAAAATACTTGTACCGTTGAAAGGTGCTTTACATTGCGGCTCTACGGTTGTGTTTTACATGCCACATACAAACCACCGGCTTCGTAATAAATATATTGCATGAAACCCACTGGAAAAGTGGGCCGAAAGAACTCGTTAAAAAACTCTAGAGTAGTCATCATTCGTAAAACGTGAGCGCAGGCATATGGAAAAGAAAAAGGTCAATAAATGATCGAGGCTATGGATACAGACGAAGCACAATGAAAGGGATGCTTCCCAGGACAAAATATCCGATCAAAATTAATGGCTCCAAGGTTGGTGTAGTATGAACCTGGTCATGGGTGAGCCACTGTGCAGCAATGACAGGGTCAGCTAAGGCTAATGACAGGGTTGGTTAAAATTGAACTCTCACATCTCTTATCTGGGTGTTTTAACAGAGGCATGGCGGTGAACAGAACGTCCAAATATGGTGAGAAAGGCAGGGCCTGGTGCAAAGTATAGAATGAAAAAAGTGGCGGTGAGGGGGGCATACCCAGTAAGGGCTTCCAGCTACTCTTCAAACGCTGCCTCCCCATTTTTCAATCCCAACATTACTCGCACATCGCTTGCCAACCTTAACCCCTTAAGTAACGGCATCAAGCTCAACAACTCCGTGTCCTGCGAATCGTTCACCCACCCTTCGATCATAATTCCGTTATTCTCATGCATCGCATAGCTCACCGGCGAGTTATCCACAATCACCACGCTCGAAAGGTCCTCTCCCACGCCTGTTGGGGCGCTCTGGCACACCTTGGCCAAATCCTTAATGTACCCTGCACCTGGCCGCAACGTGCAATGTCTCCTATAATACCTCCTGCTGAAGTAGGGCTGCTCATACTCCAACCAATCGATCACGGGGTCTGCGTACTCCTGGACCGATGCGGTAAACACCACCAATTCGAACCATTTGCTGACCGCACGGAGAAACTCGTCGCAGTAGGGCCGCTTGAACACGTGGTAGAGGGTCGCTGCTTGCATGTTCGACAAGCGGACCTCGATCATTGTGGATTGGGTGTTGGAGGAGTGGCCAGCAGTACCGCCGCGGGGAGTGCGACTGAGAGAGTGGATGAGGGTTTCGTCTAGATCGAGTACTAACGTTTTCTTCTTGACCAGTCGTGGAAGAAGCGTGCGCGGCGGCGGAAAAATGTACTGGGCAATGGAGGTTGACTTTATTGGATCGAGAGCGGATTCTATCAGTGGAAAGGCAGCATCAAGGGGCAACGTGTAGCTTTCGCTGTTGCCACTGTGGCGTCTGCCACGCAGGAGTGGCTCCTCGAACCCCTCCTCATCAAGGGGTATGGATGCAGATTTACCACCTTTGGAAGGGCGCGGCTTCATGAAAAACATGAGAGGGTAGAGAAGGACAGTGAGCATGAACATGAGGGGGTAGAGAAGGAGGTAGGTGGGTAGCCAGAGCCAGAGCAGGAGTGATTTATTTGTCTTGTTGAACGGCGAACCGCCTCGAGATTCACTACTGGCCCTTTTAGGAAACCATTGCCCACCTCTAGATTCACTGACTTCCGTTTTTTCAAATGGCGATTCACTTCGCCTTGGAGGATCCCCTTCGTCGAACGGAGAGTCTTCACGCCCGCTGTGGCGCGAGGCGTCATACATGTCGTCGTGAGGTTCGTCATCAGAGTTGTGGTGAGCTTCGCCAAAATACTGCTCCGACTCCTCAGGAATCGACGTGTGGAGGAGTTTTTCGATATTTCCGGCAATATACTGGATGGAATTCATGGCAAGTGATCTGGGTCTATAAATAGATCAGCGACTGGGAGTTAATCAAGGCTCAAAAAAAAAACAATAAAAAACCAAGAATATAGGATGACGGCCTTAGGATGAGTGAAAAAGGAATGAACCGCTACTGACAGCAGGAAATAAAGACTAGAATCTGATTCCAACAACTGACAACTGCAATGTGAGTACGATAAACCAAGGAGGAAAAAGGCTGGGTAGGGAGTGGGCCTGGATCAACGCTATGGAAAGATAAGTCTGAGGGTATACCTTCTAAGATGGTTGTAGCTTAACCTGTAACAGTTTATCAAATCGACGAATCTTCAGTACTCGGTAAAATCTCCTACGCAAACAGTCAGTCCATGCGCACCGAATTGCTCTATTTATCTCGGCCTGACATGTATTTTGGGTATCCGGCACGGATTCTGTTGGCGCTGCGGGGGCCCAAACTTTCAACTGTTGGGGGTGTCGTTCCCCCATCACAAGGGGACGGGATGAGAGCCATAACTGGGGGTACGTCCAAGAAAATCAATTTTTTTTTACAATAGGTGATAATTTACCAATCCTAATTGGAAGCTTTGGCCCATTTGATTGATAGTTTACTATCACATGCAAGCTTTGCTCTCTCTGCTGTGCCTAGCATGGCAACCACCGTTATTGCCGCCCGCCTTAGGGTCTACAGGTATGTCATGCTATTGTCACATGACCGGTCCGGAAGAGAGCATGCACTGCCGCTGAATCGAGTAGTAACGGTAAAATACCGCTTAAAAATGGCTTAGAATTATGTTTATAACTTCGGAAAATTATAAGTCTCGGTTCGAGGCAAGCGATTTAGGTTTTTTCGGCACGTCGGTAGAACCCTGATCTGGATGGCATGTGATCATCAGTGATAACGTCGATCTGCATGTAGGCCATTAGTTGATCTTACTGGTTCGATTTAAATTTGACAAACCTTGATTGCTCCTTGGTTGGGTTTAATGATCCAACACCTTGATAGACAAAACTGTCGGGGTTAAGCTCAATAACACGATAAATCGGCAGCTATGATCAGTGATACAGATTTTAGACCGGACTAAAAACTTGATGCAAATTGAAATATCTACGTTCACGACCACGTTTCATTGACGGGTTATAAATTTACTAGACTTTAATTACAACACCTTGACAACATCACAGGAATCGCTGCACAAAATAATGAATAAATAAATTACTCCTTGGCACCTCCACCTCTCAACGGCTTTACAATCCGCAAGTTTAGCCCTACCTTGGTGCTATTCTTCGCGCTAGAGCTGCGCGAGAGGCCATACTGCTGGGCGCTCGGAGACTCTGCGACATTCATTTCAACCCCAATTGGCACGTCGTGCAAACTCAAAGCAGTGAATAGCTCGCTCGAGGGACGGCTGGCACTCACTGCAGGCCTGCTAAACTGCTTCACGGCATCCAAGCGGTCGCGCAACATGCCCAACTTCTGTTCAAACGTCTCGCTTTCACGGGAAACATGGAACTGCTGCTCCTTCAACACACGTTCCAAGGTGCGGATACGCTCGTTGCGGATTTCGCTGATCTTTTGCGACACGAGAATGTCGTTGCGCAAGCGCTGGTTTTGGGCTTCCATCTCCTCGAGTTTGAGACAGAACTTGTCGAGCGCCTGTTCCAAGTGTTGCACTTTACGGGTATCGGCCGGCGAAAGGATTGTAGAGTTGGAGGGGGGATTGGGTATGGAATTTGATTTTGACGGGGAGGGAACCTCAACAATGGGTGTGTTCAAGAATATTTCCAGCCCAACCGCTTCAGAATGCACAATGAGTCCACCCCCCTTAGAGCCGTTTAGCGTTCCCTTTTTATCATTTTTGGGCGATTTGGCCTGCAAGTCCGCCTTGAACTGGGCTTCCCTCGCACGCAAATTACCCACAGTCTTCAAATTTTCACTGCCCAACTTTGGATCGCCCCTGTTGTTTTCCAGTCCGCTTTTTAAATCGCCCGCCTGTTTTGTCATTTCCCGAATCTCTGTGCTGTGTTGCACTTTGTTCGCACACAAACCAGTCTGCGCTGGCAGCCCACAAACCTGGGATTGAACTTCTAACTCCGATCTCGGGGAAGCATTTTGGCCCACAATGAACTGCACCAAATCCTGTTTCAACTGCAAGTTCTCATCGATCAAAGCGTCGTTCCGCTGCTCCAAATATCGCACACGTTCCACCTTCTCCGCTAGTTCCTCCTTCAACTCTCCCACCTGCATCGCCTGGATCGAATTGGTCGTTTGCAAGTCGTCAACCTGGGCATGCACCTCCATATACGGGACTTCCCCTCCCACCCCTCTCTCTAACTGCCGTTCCAAGTCTGCAATATACGCCAAATGCCGGCCGTTCTGCTCCTCCAACGCCAAAACTTTCTTCTTCAACTCTGCCGGGCTAACCTCCGCATTGATATGGGCGTGGTTCTTGATGCGTTTGGCCCTAGCCCCAAACCGCAACGTGGAAAGAGTCTCTATGTCGTTCCAGGACGACGGCGAACAGTTGATAATGAGTGACGTGCGCGAGTTCCCCCCTAGCGACTCCTGCAAGATCCGCGTGAGCTTCAGGTCGCGGTACGGCACGTGCTTCACCTTGGGGTCTGTTAAGGCGTTAATGACGTTGCCCAATGCGCTGAGCGAACTGTTGATTTTCTTCGCCTCCTCAAGCACCATCCCGGTGGCGCGCGTCTTTCCAACCTTCTCAGACCCCGCCAAATCCACAAGAAACAAGTTCCCCGAGACGGTGCGGTTGTCACTAGTGTATCTCTGGGTGAGTTTCACTTGGAAAATAGCGTGCGATCGCGAGGATTCTAGATTCATCCCGGTGCTGGCCACCACACGGGCCTTCGAGCCGAGCCTCATGACTTCGTACAAGTCTTTGGTGGACGCCACATAGACCTGTTGTAGCCCCTTGACGTAGACCCCGTCGACTTTATTCTCGTGAATAGCCAATTTCGCAGAATCACCCTCCACAAGAAGGTCCCGGAGATTCTCCATGTAGATTTCCATGTACGACACCAGCACCGTGTACTCCACCTCGGCGTCGCCACGTGCGATCTGGTCAAAGATCTCAGTGGCTATGCGGGGAATGATTCCCAGGTGCTCGGGATCGTCTAGGTCTCCCATCATGGTGTAAGACTTCCCGGTGCCCGTCTGGCCGTAGGCTAGAATCGTCCCGTTGTACCCTTGGAAAACATCCTGGACCGTCATTTTCGCGGAATATTGGTAGACGTCGCTCTGGCTGGTGGTTGCATCGAAGGCTGCGTCAAAGGTGAACATGTCACGGTGGGAAGGCGTGTCGTAGCACACGGTTGTGGCATCCGGGAACGTCACGATGGGATAGGTTCCAGCCAGATATCTCTCCGGGCGGAAACGGGCAATAACCTTAATATTGTTGGGGTTAGGAGCCGATTTGGGCTCGAAAGACGCCGCATAGTTCCCCGGACTGTGAGTATGGTGCACAATCATCGACTGCGGGCGGTTCCGAACCGGGGGCGGAGGGGTAGCCGGGAGCTTGCTCGGGGAGGCAAAGCGGGTATGAGCCGGCGACAGTGGAGTTGTAGCCCGCGGGATCGATGATATTGGTGACATAGCCTGTGGGAGCGAGCTCGGCATGTAGAGCGAGCGAGGTCGCGGCTGGCGGAACAGTTTGGGGCGCGGAGTAACAGGTAGTGACATAGTCAAGTGGTAATGCAATGGAGTTGACTAGGTTGGATATGTCCGAAGTTGAGCGGGAACAGATGTTGGAATGAGATTAATGGTAGGGATCCGATTTGGGCAGCCTGTGGGTAGCCTGTGTCTTGGAGATCTGAAGATTGTCTGGGTAAGGGTGCTGGAAATGAAAAGCTCAGACAATAGAAAATGATGGGCTAAGCCTCTGGCTTGGAGATCAGCTTGGAATGATTCCGGGATGTAACGGTTGTAAATTTCAGTGTGTTTATAGGAATTTCATTCGTGAAAACCCATATTTGTTTTGGACCTTTAGAACTAAACCTCTGACGTTCGTGGGCACTTTGCACCTGGCGTATTTCAGTTATGTTCCAGTCTCATCACCGTGTAAACATTGGCGGCTGCGGCTTCTGGCGGCCACAATGATCAGATCTCAAGCCAAGGGTCGTGTGCGTGAACATGTAGGCGACGGCACGTGGGAGTACTGGTCTCTGGAGGAGAGGTGAATATCGATGAATATGGAGAGACCGCTCTAAGTAATGTGAAGGCTGGATTATTTCGATGTGGTTTAAAAGGTGACTTTAGTAGACGAAAGAAGACATGACCTAAATTGGGCTGTAGATGCCTACGCAAGTGGTTGGTAGGACTGATTATGACGTACGGGATAAAATTTTGGAACCGTATAAAACAGAGATGGTAAAGCTGTTACCTGTAACAGAGATAGTAAAGCCGTTACCTGTAACATAGCTCAGTTCCTACAAGTATACGTAAACGACTAGGGCAACCATCACTATAACCCAGCATTTGAACTATTGATAAATGCCACATCGTAAAGCACACTGCAAACCGGACATACGCTACATATCCACGTGTCATTATTATCAAGGTCCGGTCTATTCCAATCACCTCCTATAGAACTCTAGGCCTCATTTCAGCGTAATCTTACAAACCAAAGTTTCAGATTCATAGACTCTATCAATGCCCGGACCCTACAAAATCGCCACCTCGTACACCACAAACGGTTCGTACTCGGTATCAACCAACGACGCGTACTCGCTCAACCCGGCATCGTTCTTCTTGATCTTGCCGTTCTTATCGACATTGAAGGCATTCCCCCCCAAGTGGCCAAACTGGTCGACCAACACGTTCTTCGCTCTGTTGATATCCTTCGCTTTGACTTCAATCAAGTAGATGTAGAACTGCGGCGGAAGGCCATATCTCAAGACGGATTCGCAGTAAACACGCAAAGCCTTGATGTGGAAGAGCGCGGCCGTAACCTCGGAGTACGCGGTAGTGGCCAAAACCGTCAATTCGCGCTTCAATTGCTTTTCCTGGGACCCTGCAACGTTGTATTCCTGACGCAACGCGTTGACGGACTCCTCGGAGTAGTTAAAGTCACGCGGGTGCCACTTTTGCTCGCGGCACCTTAACGCAAACTCCGCCGCAAACTTCTTGAACAACGTAACGGAGTAGAGCTGGAACTCACTGTCGGAGCTGAGGAGCTTTGCGGAGCGCGGAACCACGTAGCTCGTCAACGTTTCATAGGACGCCACGAATTGCGCCTGCAGCGCCTTTGGCACCACCACGAGCACCGTCGTGAGGTACTCAGAGTCCACCACAAAGTCGTCCTTGCTGACAATGTCGTGTAAGGACTTGACGGTCAAATCTCCGTTGTTTTTCCTGGCCGCGCTCACAAGCGCGTTCTTGGCCTGCTGGTAAGCGGAATACACCGCCCGCAAGTCTGTCTCTACCGCCGCCACGTCACTGGTGATGAGCGAAACAAGGTCGCCCACAGACTTGTCCAAGCGGTATTTGGATGTGTTCCACCGGAACTGGCGCACGTATTGCCCCACCTCGACGTTGTTGACACGTTTGTGCTCGTTGACGGCGCGCGACTCGTACACGGCACCGTAGATGTCCACAATTTTGGAGAGCGACTGCTGGAACTGCACATCGAGCTTGGCCAAGTCTTCCACCTCGTTCACCAACGAGTCGAGCGTGCCGATCTTAAAGTCGGGGATGGCGAAGTTGGTTACGAGGCTGGCAGCCGTCAGGCGCGCCACGTTTTCCTCAAGCCAGTGCTTCAATGCGGCGTCCGAGCTGTAGCTAGACTGCGGCAAGGACAATAAGAGGTAGTTGGCAATGGATTCCATGGTGGTGACGAGTCAGGGAGAGTGGGGGTGATAAGCAAATCGCGCTCACTTATCAAGGATCGGGAGAGGGGCTCTGGTGGGTGCACGCAGAATGTACTTCAAGTCTTTGGGGAAGCTAAACGTGTAATGGCGCCTGGTAGCAGTCAACGCCCAACTCGATAGAGTGACGGAGGAAAAAAACTGGCGGAGCGACCAAGGATTGGAGGGGAGATTTGTATCCTAGATATTGGAAGATTTTGAAGGGTAGCAGCACAAGATCCGCGTGAAGGCGATAAGACACGATTAAGCCTTTTAACCGAGCAGATAAAATTTCAGGCGGGCACTCAATATCAACATAATGCTTTTATATGAAAGTCCATATAGCTTTCACGGAGTACCGTATATAGAACTCTCGTCTCACTCCTGCCGCGATCGCCTCTCTGCTCTTTATCGCTGTTTATATTACGCCTTTGCTTTCTGACTTGCTAATCATTTATTTATAATGATATCCGGACTAAACAGTCATTCCTTAAACCTTGATTACATGGGACGTGGATACAGTTCGGACCCCCCAAAAGGAATGGCTCTATCGTTGGGCTGGTCTAGGGCCTGCAGTCGCCGCTTATTATTTCAGCGCAGGATATGCAATCAGACATGCAGCACAAATTCTTGAGCAAAACGTCTTTCATACCTCTCTTCCTGGCGACATGGTCCAATATTAATGTTGCGAACCATCTTCCGACTCGGAAGAGGTTTATATCTAATTCCTGCCCATTGGAAGCATTTGGCCCCTCAGAGAGGGTTACGGACAACGCCTCTGCGCCGGCCCCTCCCGGCCGAAGACTATTCCCAGCCCCAACGGCAGACCCCGCAGGCAAAGTACATGCACCACTACCAACAGCGAGCGGTAATGGTCTGGTTCTGCCAGCACTTTTTACCGCTTACTGTGGAGGAGCTGCAGCGGTACATTGCTAGTCTCAGCAGCGTTCCGAAGGAGCTTCTCCACCAAGAGTGGCTTGCGGTGCTCGTGGCTGTCACCAAGGCCAGGTACAACGACGGCGCTGAGTTGTATAAGCGGGATATGTGGCCGAACTTTGAGCCAAGAAAAGAGAAATACCGCCACTTTCGCCGCCCGTTGGCGACGCTTACGGCCACTCCTGATCAGCGAGCACGGGCTCTCAGTCGGCTCTTGGAGGCGGTGCGAGACCCCCAAATCAGACAGTTTCTTAGCCAAAACATCCAGTCGTTGAGTGTCCAGGCCACCGACTCTTTCATAGAGCAAGTAGTACGCCTCAGTCCGGCACAGCTCCGCCAGCTCGACATCTTTGATGTATTTGTGGGCTTCGGAGGCGATGTTTCCAAAGTGGTGGACCTGAATAACCCCCACAGATTCAAGCCAGCGCTCTCTCTTCGTGACTTTCTCTTTTTCGAGCTCGCCAAGGGGTTTTTCCGTGAATGCGCCGCGTACCGAATCCCCCAGCCCTTGCTTCTTTCCATCTTTGAATTGATCAAGATGGAGCCAGACCGCTTGCGGAACGAGTACATGGGTTATCTCATCGGGTACGAGTTTTTATATAACGCGTATCCAGGGGCCGACCGGAAAGTGCAGTTAGATCCATATCACGAAATGACGTATGTGTTTCCCGGGATGCTTAGGCAAGGGCTTCAGGCCAAGGTGATGGAATTGTATGCCTTACACAACGACAATAACCATTTACAGTCCTGGAGAGAATATGGAGTAAGGTTGCAATTGAGGTACGGCGTTCCAGCGGCTGCTGAGGCTTTGGTAGAGAGTATCATGGCCGATTTTGGATGCGTCAGTCCCTCGGTCTCGGCAGAGTTTGTTCAGCACTACTATTTAGTTGGTGACGGGGAAGGGTGTAAACGGTGGATGAGCAGATTCCTCGAAGAAACAAAGCGACGTGGAGTAGAGAACGACGTTTCGGACTACAACATTGGCATAAATGAGCTTCTTGCGCGGATGGAATCGCGCGGGGCCACACGAGAGGATTTTCTTTCTGTTTTGCGGGCAGCCATGTTTTTCAAACAAACAGACATGGTGGTGGCCGTCTATGAAGTTTTGAAAGAGTATGGAGCGAAGAGTATCATGGAGTATCCAATTTACGGGATTAACGACGAGTACAAGCTTGAACTACTCCCGAAGCTTGTGGGTGTAGCGGACGAGGAGACTGGATTGCTTTTAAAGACAGAATTAGCCAGAATCAAGGAGATCCCTGATGTTTTGTTAAAACACCTCGCATTATATGAGTCGCTCCTCCACGATTGCTTCAAAAGTCAACCAGCCCGGTTTGCAAAGTACCTTATCTTGCAAGAAGATGTCGAGGAGTTCCACTACTACCCAACTCAGCTTGGGATAAAACGGACTCAAGGGACTAAACATACTCAAGAGACTAAACATACTCAAGGGACTGAACATACTCAAGGGATTAAAACCCAAAGGGTTAAAAATACCTCTCTCCGATCTTTCCAGTCAAACCTCCTGCCTGATAGAAGCATGCTCACGGCTGCCATCCAACACTATATCACTAACGATATCTCAAAGGCCAATGCCATTCTTTCAACCCTCGAATTCGCAGCGCTAACAATTCGCCAACGAGCGCAGAGATTCGAGATTCCTCAGGTGCTGAGCGAAGACTATCTTCCCTTCATCGCTCATTACAGTGCTTTGGGTCAGTGGAAGGATGTCGATGCAATCCTATCTCGAATGGGCAAAGCCCAAGTGGTCTTCGATGCCAAGGTGATGGAAACTGTGTTGCGAGCGTACCATACCGCAGACGAGCCCGTACAGGGTATGAGGTTTTGGGACACGTACAAGTTTGTGGGTATTCCCAGCCCAACTGGAATGCAACTCCTCGCCCGTTCCCATGCTTCCTTCTCCCACGTCTGGAGTATGTCGCGAGACTTGCACCGATTACGCTCCAAGAATCAGCTTTCGTTGGTGCCGGATTTGAGCCGGAAGCAAGACATCCTCAACTTCTTGAGCGAACAGCGGAGCCCAGAGGAGATTGCAAAGGAAGGGAACCGCGGGATCCACGGTCTTTCCGTGAGGGACCTCTTTGCTCAACAGACAAAGACCTTAAACGTCAATGAAACCCCATCGCAATCGTTGTACAAGAAGATTCTCCAGGCATGTTTGTGGAGCCGGGATTACGTGGGAACCATCGCCATTATGCAGTTTATGCACCATTACTACGGTATGAATCCGGAAGGCGGGAGGTGGTTCAAGCGCATTATCCGCGAGACGAGAGCGGACGCGGCAGTGTCCGGGAGAAGAATGACTATCGCCACAGGCTTTAAGGAGCTTAAGTTTGAGGCATTACAGGCAAGAGAGGGCGTAAACGAGACGTGGAATCAGCTAGCATATTTGTTGCTAGATGAATTGGCGTTTGAAGGAGTCCCTTCAGAGGAGATCAACGCGGAGTTGAGTGCGGTTCAGAAATGGTTAAGACTTCCGGTGAGAAGCGTGGAGGAGCTTTAAATGTACGAATAAAGGAAACTTCAACATATCAGCACTGTTACAGGTTCTCCAACGATAGTTTGTTTGCCGCAATCATCGAAAGATAAAAGGGCTGGCATCCAATAGTTAGGTCAACGGCATACGACGCGCATAAGACTTTCCATAACATTTTGCATTCATATAGCTGGGCACTATGTCTCTCACCCCCAACAATTTTTCAGCAATTATAGACGATAAAACCAATCCATTGGTAACTATAAGTATATTAGTACCAATGTTTGTATTCTCAGAAATGAGTTATCCCTAGCCAGCTATTGTGAGATCAGCCTCCACCCTTCGTTATCCTGCATATAACCCTCATCTGGCGGCGTTAAAAATCTCCATCAAGACGCTAACACACTTCTACGGGTACCATCTTCTAGTAGCCATGTCCGTCAATGTCACATATGGCCTTAGAAGCGTCAAGGTAAAGACCACACCCTCTCAGAACTTAAACGATGTCTTAGTCCGCGCCTGCGAATCATTTAAGTTGGATCCATCGCGATTTGATCTCAAACACAAAACCAAGTTAGATTTGTCGTTACCGTTCCGATTGTCTGGATTGACCGCTGGCGCCAAAGTGGACCTTGTGCCACGCACCACCGTTCTGGGCGATGTTTCCATCAAACTCCAGTTGCAATACCCACCGTCTGCCCAGCAAACCGTCGATGCCGCCCAGTTGGTTAAAAAGTTTCCTGGTTCTACCAGGATTGAAGACGTATTGAGGCGTTATGAAGCGGAGCTTCAGGTGCCGATTATAGTGGTGACCGATGCCACTGGTGGGTTTGAGCCCAGCTTGCAGACCATGTCACGGACGATCCAAAAAGCGGAGTTCGGACAGACGTTACTGGCGATGGGGATCACCGGGGCGAGCTCGATCCGTGTGTCCTTCCGCAGGACCGTTTCCTTGGAAGAACAGCGGGCTGCACTGCAGAAACATTCCCAGGAGCAGGAAGCGATCAATGTCAGACAGCAAAATGTGCAAGCGGAGTACTTGAAGAAAAAGAGGGAGGTGGAAGAGTTAAGGGAGGTGGAAGAAAGGAGACTAAGGGAGGTGGAAGAAAGAAGGCTAAAGGAGGTGGAAGAAAAAGAGGTTAGTGATGAGCAGAAGACGCGAGGAGTCTTGGAGGAAGGAAGAGGAGCAGGGGTGAAGGGGGTTGATGAAGCAAATACCTCTGCAACGTCCCAAAAAGCCGAAAAGTCAACTTCCCAACCGATTGACGTGAATATTGATGCCAATTCCATGGAAGTGGATACCCCCGAAAAGCTCCTGGGGCCAATAATTTTCAAGCCCTCACCTACCCCTCTCCAAATCTACGACCACCCCGAGGCAGCCTACGATATGACCGTCTCACAGGCCAAAAAGTATCAGGCGCTCATCGCACTGAAGGCCCATCCGGTACCTGCAAAGTTGAGACAGCGGCCAGTTGCCAAGGCTTTTGCTGAATGCGACATCAGAGTCAAATTTCCCGATGGTGACACGTTGCAGGTATCGCTCAAGCCGACCCAACCCCTTGTGGACTTGTTCCACGCTGTTAACCAGCTCCTTATCAACCCCCGCCTCGAGTACAAGCTCTGTTTATCGTTTCCGCATACTGAGCTCAAGGACCTGGTGTTTGTTTCGTTGCTTGAGGCCGGATTTGGCCCCCGCACCATGGTTAGGTTCGAAGTTGACGTGTTGCAGAAGGGCCCATTCTTGAAGGAAACCGGTCACGAGGTTCCGGTGACCGTGATGGGTATCCAGGAGGCGGATGACGTAAAGTTAGAGGCTCAAAGATCCCAGATGGTGGATGAGGTGGAGATGAAGGAAAGCAGTATTTCGGGAGGTAAGCTTGGGAAGACCAACGGTGTGAGTGGGGGCAAAACCGGAGTTGCCAAGTTTCTCAGGCTTGGGAAGTGAAATTATAGAATACGTTGTGATTTGTCTGAATTTATATGGCATGCAAAGGACCTTATCGATGTATTTAAAATGATTCAATAAGTACAAATATAACGTAAGCACCGTTGATCTGGAATATTTATCTATGTTACATTTACCCTCACCTTATAACTGCAGGTTCTCATACATATCATGACATTAAATCATACCTAATTACAAGCTTATGGGTTCTGCTTGACAAAGTTGACACCCTTGGCGATGTTGTCAACCAAAGTTTCCTTGGCAACCTTGACCAAGGCTTCCTCAGCATTGGACAACTCACCCAAGGCGTGAATCTTGGCAACACCCTCTGGGCCCAAGGTGACGTTGGAAGAGAAGAACTCAACACCTTCAGACTTGAACAATGGAGAGTCGACGAAAGAGGCCTCAATGACGTCCTTTTCACCGGCAAGACCGTTCAAGATGGCACCGGCAAAACGGGCACCGGCCTGGGCCATGGACAAGGTGGCGGAACCAGCACCGTCCTTGGCCTGGACAACTTCGTCACCACCAAACTGGATTCTGTGGATCAAGGCGTCACGGGTCTCGCCCTTGATAGCAAGGTTGTGCTGGGTCTGGGACAAGAGTGGGACAATGGTGACACCGGAGTGGCCACCGACAACGTTGACAACCTCGTGGGCTGGGTTGGTACCAGCAATCTCAGAGATGAATCTGGAAGCGCGCAAGATGTCCAAGGTGGTGACACCGAACAACTTCTTTGGGTCGTAGACACCGGCAGACTTGAGAATCTCAGCAACGATTGGAACAGTGGAGTTGACTGGGTTGGAGATGATACAGACCTTAGCGGATGGGGCGTTGGCAGCAACAGCCTTGGCCAAGTCTCTGACAATGGAAGCGTTGGTGTTGAACAAATCGTCTCTGGTCATACCTGGCTTTCTTGGGACACCGGCTGGGATGACAACGACGTCGGCATTCTTCAAGGCGGAAGCCAAACCATCGTTTTCTGGGGAGTAACCCTTGACGGTGGAGTTGGTTGGGATGTGGGAGCAGTCGGCAGCGACACCTGGGGCACCTCTCAAGTCGTACAACGCAAGGTCGGTAACCTTGGTGTTCAACTTCAACAACAAGGAGAGTGGTTGACCAATACCACCGTTGGCACCGAGAACAGCAACCTTGTAGGCGGATGGGACGGAGGAGGAGAAAGTACGACGAGCAACCTTAGAGAACATGTTAAAAGTGGCAATAGAGATTGAGGCGGAACTGGAAGAAGAAGCGAGGGGAGTGCGTGTTTATATAAGGGATGGAAAGTGTGGGTGGAAAATTCGGCCCTAGGGGTGGGAATTTTCGCCGACCAATGGGCGGCTTCGGGGTTCCGTCTGTGCCGGATGAGATCGTCGACGCGGGAGCGGTTAGAGCAGCAGCTATAGTGACATTTACTGGCGACAAACCAGGATAAACGATTCACTTATGACTCGATAGCAACCTTCTTCCAATGCAATTGATAATCCCGTCTGAGTTTATAACCGCGATAGCACGTATTTCGGTAGCGGTGTTGCCAGATGAAGCTGTTCTGTAGTTTGTGCAGGATATCCTAACACATAGCGCGGCTTTTCGTGGGGCCGACTCCGACTCGGAGGCGGAACTTTGCGGGAATTTGGCACGTGTCAGATATGACGTAGGGTCGGTTATAACCCCTGGGCGGCCACGTTGGAGTCGCGGCGGCTTTAGCCGAATGTGGCAGAGCTAGCGGCCAGCTGAATGGTATTTATCGCTTGAGAGTTTTGACAGAGATGGTAACAGATTTGCGGGTCCTTATGAGGAGTATAGACAGAGGGGGCTTTGTGTATACCACTAATTTTGGGGCACAGGCCCCATATGTCTTTTTGGGGGATCTACATGGCAATTCGATAGTAGACCAGTTGGAGACACATCACAAAGATTACACACCGCTTGTTCATATCGATGTCTTTTTTGCGCAGATGTCCCCTTTCGCACAGCCCTTACGCTAAGAAAAAGAGCCTTGTGAAGATTTAAAGGCTAGGAATATGCTTCGGAGCCCAAAGGTTTTGCGGGTATCAGAGGGAGGTATTCTTGGCACCAGAAATATGTCTGTTAAACACTCTAAATAGCGATGACAAGATAGATATTCTAATAGGCTATCTATTTGGCATTAACATAGAGTCCTAGCACATCTCGTATCCGATCTGAAATGTGCACAATTGATCCACCTTGCTATTTAAATTTATCGGAAATAACCTCCACTGGCTCGACTGAGATGTTTAACTAGAGCTCGAGCTTACGCCTATATATTTTCGATACTGCATGACCTATGCCACAGATTTGGTCCACTTTGGAGATAATATACAACTATAGACAGGCTCAGCTAAATGATATATGCATTGCTTATTTAGCATCTGAGAGTTTGTTGGAACCGCCATCCTTGGAGACGTCAAGAGCTGCTTTCGTACTCTGAGGTTCACCTTCGGTCTTACTTTCAATCTCACCTTTAATCTCACCTGATGGTTTAAGGGGAATACCAACCTTCACCTCCGCTGCTTCAGTCATTGGAATTTCAGTCCCTGAAATACCAGTCTTTTGTTCCTTAGCCTGACCCTTTCTTTTGGTATAAACCACTTCTCTCTTTGGATTCTTAACCCCCTTTACTTCCTCCCCTCTAATCTCCTCTACCAATTCCGCCACCACGTTCCTCTTTGTAATCACTTTAACACCCAGCTGATGAAGAATAAACCGCTCAGCCGTCTTCTGAGCCGCCATAAGATACTCCTCGCTCTTGTCAATCGTCTCAAGACTGCGATTCTTTTCGTAAAACGTCGCCTCCAACACCCTCGTGTGCCTCGTTAAGCGTTTTTTATACTCAAGCAATGCGTACTTGTACTGCAACACGCTGTCGTAGTCGGTGTTATGTTGAAGGCGCTCGCTGAGTTGGCGATACGACTCCCTGCCATCGAGTAGGGCCTGTTCAGCCGCGGACACCTCGATTCGACTTGCCAAGTCGCCGACCACGGCACAAATCGTGATACTCACATCCTTGATGCGCGCAGGAAGATGCGCGAGCTCGCGCGGGTGGACGCGGAAGTCCTGCGCGTAGAACGGCGCGTCTGCAAATACCGCACGCAAATCGATGCGGCCGTCGCGCATGTCGCGACGGAAGTCGCGGAGCTCGACCAACGGCCGCAACGCAATTGCGCCCTTCTCGCACGAGTTGAAAAACTGGAGCGCGACGGTTTCAGCCTGCGCACGGCTGAGCGTTAATAAGCCGACGGACTTACAGTACCAGTGGAGGTAGCTGAGCGAGACGGCCACGAGCTGGCGGTTGCGACGCGGCTGTAGCTCGGTGACGCGCCAGAACGCGTTCAAGTCGTTGAAGATACGCTCGGACGTGTCTGTGGGGATGCGCCACGCGCGTGCGGCAGTCACCTCCTTCCCGGCGCGCTTCTCGCGCGAGACCTCCTGTAAGCGCGTCACCTCGTGCACATAGCGCGTGTGCGCGAAATAGCCAACCAACCCGGTCGTAACGATCTGCGGCGTGAGTTGCAACGCCTCGTACATCTTGTTTGTGCGAAGATGTGTCAACTGCGCATACTGGTCGTTCATCAAAAACTCCTCCGTCGACCGGTGGTACGCCTCGGTGAAATTTCTCATATAACTGTCGTACACCACCACATCCAATTCTGCCGGGAGCGAGGTGACCCACGTCTGGAACACGGTACACGCCTCCTTCGGCGAGTGGAGCTGCTTCGTGAGGTCGAGAAACACCTGCATGGCATGCGGATCCGCGGGGAAACGCTTCGGCGTGGGGTTCACCTCGGCAATATCCATCAACTCTGCGTGCATCGCGGGCGCAAGTGCGGGCGTAAGCTCGGGGATATGGAACCACTTCTGGAGGATCTGCGCCGCGCGCTGCATGAGTGCCGGGGATCGGAATACCGCCGCGTAGCTCAACACAAGCTGGGCATCGATGTGGAGCTGGCTGCGCGGCTGGGTTCTGTGCTTGAGCACCATCCGCCAGATCATCTCCGCACGGCGGACACGGTCCAACTCGTCCTCCAAGGTCTTGAGGTAGTTGAAAATGGTGGTGAACGTTGTGGCCGTCGGCTGGAACGAGATGTGTTTCGCCTCCTCCATCTGCTCCAACACGGGGTGATCGTGGGTCTCCACCCTAACGGGTGTGTTGGTTGGGTCCGTACGAGACATTACGTAGTGGAAGAGCTCCCACGCGCGCTCCGGCTTGTCGGAATGGAACAACGCATTGAGGCACGCGTTGAAGTGCTGGGCGTTCCAGCGCGCGTTGCGTGCAGCTGCATAGAATACTCGCGCCAACTTCTCTGCCTGGAGCGCGGTCAACGGCGAGTTTTGTTTGGCGGCGCCTGCAAACAAAATCGTATACGTCAACTCATTCACATCGACGCCCCACTTTTTCCGCTTGACAAACACCTCGAGAGCCGCATTAAACCGGTTATTAAGCAATAGATACTCCATAACTCGGTTCATCCCGACAACCCCCTCTTTGCCCGCAATCCGCGACACGTAGAGCGCCTTGTTCACGTGGCCCTTCCGGAGGAACCGTAACACGTCTTTTTCCACCACAAACGTGTCTTTGAGCTGGTCTCCGGACGTTCCGAGGATATTGTAGAGCACACGGCGCTCGGTCACGTCGAGTTTTTTGTGGAACTCGTCCGCACTCGGCAAGTCGACGTCGTGAATCGCATCGTATTCGGTAATGTTCATGTGGAGCTTGTGCTGCAAGATCTCGAGCGCGTGGCCCTTGTTGAGCCTGCGAGTCTGGCGCGCCGCTGACTCGCGCACAGCTAGTGCCTCGTCACGCTTGCGCTGGTTGGAGGTCTTGAAGTTGCGCGGCACCTGGTTCGTGCTAAGAAGGATGTTGAGCTTCTTGCGCACGGAAGAGCTGACAAGCGTAGTCGTGTGGAACTGGCGAAGCCGGCTCCGCACGTGTCTAGAGGCTGAAAGCATGATGGAGGTCCGTAACTGGGTTTGTAGATAGAGATGTGTGGGTTGGGACTAAAATAATTGCACGCTACTTACTCACATGCAGGTGAGCTGAAAAGTTTCATATCCTGCACACATACTCATCGCGTTGCGGCCCCCAAGGTGAGAGCTACGGTTTGGGGGGCTGTTATGGGAATACTTCCAATCTACGAAATATTGGTCTTGGTAATACGCAAACAAAAACGTCATTCCGAATACAATAAATGAAGCGAGCAATCAGTTGCTGAATTATACGGCGGGAGATCAAACGTAAATTTTTTTTTATATCGCTAGACGTAGATAAATAACTATATAATATGGCTGATCAAATTTCGAATGGGTCACAGACAGCAAAACATTGAGCCAGCAAGTTCAAATCCAGAGCCTGATACTTGTGTAAGCTTTAGATGCTAATATTTCACCCAGTTGTATTTGTTTTCGACCTCTGATTCTGGAAGATACTCCTTCTGTGGTCTTACAACTCATCAATGAAGTGTTCCAAGTCCAACTTTTGCAAGTCAAGCAGCTCCATTTCCGGTTCCATTTCCGGCTTCATTTCTGGCTCAAACAAGAGATCCTCCATGGCCCGCTTGATCTCTGCGATCCCCTTCTCCTCGTTGGTTTCTGCTTCGCTGAAAAACTGTGGGTCTCCGACGTGTTTTCCAAACCTCAAGGGCTGTACTGCGAACCCTTTGCCAAAGTCACCACCGTCCCTGGAGTAATTTGCAATAAACCGGTAGCTGTCGCCTCTTCCAGTTCGTCTGCTTGTCTCACTACCGTCAACTAGCAACTCCATGCTGAGCATTCCCGAATCCATCGCCCCCAGATTTTTCTGGAAGTCGTAAATCGAGAATTGCACCTTCCGGTTGTTGAACAAGTTTGGGTACGGCAAACAGGTTTCGATTTCTGCCTGGGCCAACGGATTTGTGTAGTAAGGTTCGAGATCCTCTTTCTCTCCTTCGCTCTGGGAAGCTTCGGCCACCATTCCGCTGGCCTCCGGCAACGCATACTGCCAAGAACAAGAGCCATCAGTTGGGCTCACCACTTTTATCACACCATCCAGAACAGCCAAAAGGCACCCTTGTAGCGAACGTTGGTGGTGCAAAAGCTCGACCGCATCCACGTGCTTGGCCTTGTAATCTCCCGAGGAGAGGGTGGCTATTCTAGGTCCTAGGCACATCCTAGTCACCCCAAACGAGGACAAGATCCATGAGTGGTCGTCCGGAGGCTCGCTGAGGTTGGTGGAAAACCAGTGGATGGAGCCTGAGGCACGGGTGGTGATACCAAATGACCCTCCCCCGCCGCCCCAACACACGCTGTCGATGATGGATGCAGTTTTTCCGCGGATATACTTGCCTAAAAAGGAAAATTCAGATGGAAGCTTTGACAAATCCCAGTAGAGCAATGCGTCACCTCTTTTGTTGGCGGTGACCAAGTGGGCATCGTAAGGAGAAAGTGAGAGGTACGAAAGGTCGCCGCCAGGCGGTCTTAACACTCCGAGCGTCCGGCCATTTGAAAGATCCACTACCACCACTCGTTTGTGGGCTTTTTCTGGCGTCTCTTTTGAAAAGAGTTTGGTTAATGTGTCTTTGAGGTATTTGTGAGTGCTGGAAGGAGAGGCGGAAGACTTCTCCTGCTGGTCCCGCGAAAAGTAGTCGCCAATCTTTCTTGAAGAAGCCTCGGAGACCTTAAACACACCATCGATAGTGGCAGCAGAGATGGAGGAGATTACTCTGTTGAGCAAAGGCCCTGGAGGCGGTAATTTCACCGGGGTTACGTTCCGTTTGGTGTCTTCGCTTGCCTTTCCAGGGCAATAGGCAAGCCATTTCCCCGCGAGGGAGCACAAGGGGTTTCCGTTTGCAAAGGAACAGGGGTCGAGTTTGGCTTGGTTGGGGAGGCCAAAGCCAACTTTCTGGAGGCTTTTGCGGTCATATACGTGCATTTTTCCATTAGCGTCCACCACCACGAAGTGGGACTTTGAGTGGGAAAAGATGTGGTAGGGGGCTGAAGCGGTTTCCCTGAGGAGCTGGGTGGTTGAACCTCCTATGGTGGTGACGTTCACAAGGATGTGCTTTCCCATCGTAACCTGAACTAAAAGCACGAAGGGTTTGCCTTGCAAAGGAGTGATGGAAACGATGGTGCCCGTTTCTCGCATTCTGTGAGAGGCAGCCAAGTACAAGGTTCCTCCGGCACTGGCCGCTGTCGCCGGAAACCAGTCCCAGACCTGAATTGCGTTCTGATACGCAACAAAAACCTCTCCGGCCGTGCCAAACTCGATAAAGGGGTATTCGCTGTCTTGCTCCATAACATCGCCTGCGAAGGGTTTGGCTTTGAGAAAGTCAGGGCGAGGGGGGGAGGAGGAGGGCGATGAGGGTGAAGCAGAGCCGCTGGTCTCTTCTTCATCAGACAGTACGAGGTTCGGCGGTGTGGCTAAATCATCATCCACGGGCTCAGTGGGTGAAAGAAGCAAAGACGCCTTTTTGTGCTGATACCGTGCTACTGCGCTGGCGGCTACGGACGAAGCGGTGACTTTGACCTTAGTCCAGGTAGCGGCTTTGCCAAGCTTGTCGCCCTTGCGCGGGGTAACGGGGCTAGACTGTTAGTATGGTTATAAGGTGAGACTGTGGTGGATACGCACGTCCTGAAGATCCTGGTTGTTTCAGCGGGGTTCATTTGGCAACTATTGCGGGGCAATATGTAGCAGGCTAGTATTGCGTGGCTTACGGGCTATAAGATGGGCACTGGTGATGACAATGAATGAACGGTATATATGGTTGTATTTGTATTTGATCTTGT